TAGATTTCCTGAATCCTTATAAGCCTCATCCGTCTGGGCTGAAAAACCCTGCATTATTTTAGCCTAAAGTACTCCAGAGATGAATGAAAATGGAGTGACTCCCAATGTGACCAGAGTCAATGCCCAACTACTCGTAAATGCAATGGTCAATCCACAAACCAAAGATGCCACATTTGCTAGATTAATTCCAATTATGGAGGAAGTCAATCCATTTATTAGTTTACAATCAACAGATAATCTACTGGTTAATGTTCCTGCATTATTCTTGGGCTCATCAAAAAAAGGAATTGGCATCCTTAAGAGTTTTCTAAATGTATCCGATCTTAATTTTAGTGTCAATCTTTCACCTACATAACTTAAACAAAAAGATTGGATAGTCCATAAGGTCAATGCACAACATCCAATTATGAAAAAGTATAACGCATTTTTATCTGCCTCACCTCTTACATAGGCCATCTTATCGCTTCTTTCTTCATCACTATAATTTCTAGGATTCGAGAGTGCAAGAACTGTGATCATATCCGATAGGAAAATTGAGAATATTGGAAATGTGCAACCATTAGCCATGGCTGCTAGAACTCCAAGGAGGAATTGAAATCTTTCTGACTTATTATAACTGAATAATCTGCCCATTTAGGCATCGGGTTCCTTTTTGACTTCTACCTACTCCTTATCTTTATCTGCAACTTTATCATATTGAGTGTTTTCCGTCTGTCCTTTAACAATCAAATCTAATTCCTTTAATTACTTGAATTGATCTACTGCTTCCTCTGTAATATTTCTCTTGTCTGCAACGTTCATTTATATAATCTTCTGAGTGTTAGTTGTATCATTAGGTTTAGTAATACTATCTAATAGTATCTTTCTGCTTGGAGTTTGTATTTGTGACTGACTTAACTGCTCCTCCTCCTATTTCTTTACTTGATTTTTGGCTAAAATCTCATATTTTCCATGTAAGTTCATGAGTTCTTAATGTGTTCCCATTTCAATTACTATGCCTTTATCAATAACATATATCAGATCTGCATTCTAGATTGTACTCAATCTGTGAGCAATAACAATTGTGGTGATTCCTTGAGACACCTCATCCAAAGTCTCCTAGATTAATCGCTCATTAGTTCTATCTAAGGCACTGGTGGCTTCATCCAACAGTAAGACCTAGGGCTTCTTTAAGATGGCTCTGGCTATAGCAATTCTTTATTTTTATCCTCCACTCAATTAGCCTCCTCCGATACCAACGTAAGTCTCTAATCCTTTATCCATTTTTTGAACAAAATCCCAAGCATTTGCTTTTTTTAAAGCATCTATCATTTCTCCCTCGGTTGCATCAGTCTTACCATACAACAGATTTTCTTTGATACTTGTTGCAAAGAGAACAGGCTCTTAACCAACCAACCCAATTCTACTCCTCAAATCTACAATATCTAAGTCCTTGACATCCATTCCACCAAACAATACTTCACCCTAATCACAATCATAAAATCTTTCAATTAATTGCATAACTGTAGATTTACCACATCCACTCTCCCCCACCAATGCCACCTTTTTACCAGGAGGAATGTTCAAACTCAATCCATTCAATACCAATTGATCTGGTCTATTTGGATAATTAAATTTAATATCTTTCAATTAGATTTCACCATTGAAATTCAACAACTTTTTGGGATTGGGAGAATTATATATTTTAGGCTTACGATCTAATACCTCATACATAGTAGCAGCTGCTGCTTAACCCTTTGCAAAATTCTATACGCATGGCCCTGCTTAACCTAAGGAGAATCCACCAGTAACTACACTAAAATATATTGTCATCACATCTCCAACCGTATACACAGAATCCTAATTTGGATTGTATGTCTATTATATATATATGTGTATCCATTACTTGATCTGCTATCAATTTGGCTCCATACCAAAATCCCAATGCATACGACCATAAACTAGCTGCCCATATTAATCCGATTGCTATGCCTACTCCAAAATCATATTTGGTTGTCTTATTTGCTGCACTCTACAACAGTTAATAGTACTTTTAGTGTTCGTACTCTTCGCCATCTAGCATTTTAACTGTTTTAATTCCATTTATTGCTTGTTCCGCTATTGCTCCTGCTTCTGCATACGCTGATTGTGTTGCCAATGTAGATTGCTGAATTATCACTGAAAACACAGCAGTTATTATAGATATAACTGGCAGAGTCGCTGTTATTACAATTGCAAGTTACCAGCCCCTAAAATTATTTATTTATTCTAATACCAAATGTAACCATATAGAAAACCAAAAAATGTCATAGAAAATGTCATAATGAATGTTGGAACTTTTTCACCTATCGCACCTTAAACAGCAAACGATTCGTTAGCTACTTTACTATTTAATTCATTTGGATTTATGGTGTCAAACCATCCTACCTCTTGATGCAGAATTGCTTTGAAATAATTTTTTCGAAATTCTATTCCCTATCTTTCTCCAGCTATCATCCAAGTTGCGAACATTGTAAATGACAATGTGCCAGTCGCAAGAGCTACCAATAGAAACCATCTATGTGAGGTTATATCTAATTTTATACATTGCACTCCATCCAGCCTATCTAACCATCTCATCTCCTGCCTCCTGAAATGAATTAACCATTGAACCAAAAATCAAAGAAAAGGAAGGAATGGCACCACCATTCAAAAACGCAGCAACTGATCCCAAGACCATCAGCACGATATCTCCATTTTTTGCGTATCTAAATAATTGAAAATATGGAATCATTTTTGGTTTCTCTCCTTCTCTCTATCCATTATCTCTATTCTCCGTCCCTTTAACCTTTCCTCCAGAAAGTCCTCTCTCTTCTTCCATGTTTGTAAAATTTATTTCTGAATTTCCTCTATACTAAATCTTCCCCTTTATTTATTCTTTGATTAATCTTTCTATATAATGAAATCAAAGATTCCACCAAATTTTATAGAATCCCGCATTTACTGTCTCACCTACACTTTCTATAAATAAATTTGACAAAAAACCTAATTCATTCTATATCATCAAATGAAACTCACAAATACTTGTTTAATCCAAAAATAAAACATTGAGTTAATTGCAATGCAAGATTTCAAACTCAACAAGGAATGCTAAGATTGATGAGGTATTTATTGATTGTTCAATTGGATTAATTATTTTCAAAAATCATACTACTCATATAGTCTTATAATTTATCAATAGTTTAGAATAATAAAATCATTAATTTATCAATAGTTTAGAATAATAAAATCGTTAAAACTAATTTAAATGGGGTTTAAAATTTACAAATATCACAATTGAAACTTACAAAATCATAAGTTAATGAAAAAAATCATGACATCATAATAAAGGAAAGAGGTCCTTATGATGGAACAAAGAAATTGTCCCTTATTGAGGTGGTCCTATTAGGAGTTTGTGAAGCGGTTCTTCTGCGATTCGGACTGGGCTATAGACTTTTATGAAATTGCTATTATTAAATTTGAAAATCCGATTGCTCCTCCCAATCATTTGCAGAAGTGCTGAGCTTCCTTTGATTAACGCATTTTATGTCCAGTTTTAAGGCTTCTCTGTTAGGAACATTAAGCTTGTTTTCAAAGTAGCCATTCTAGATGGGTTGTATTTGCAAGGTAATTTTCTAGTCGATTTCGTCGAAATTGAGAGTATTTAGTTTGTAGAGCAATTCATCAGGAAGCTGGATCAATTTCCTAATCTCTAAAAATCTTTTAATTTATTTAATGGCTCTGATCCTTTTGGCATGGTCATCCTATTTATTTAGAGATTCGTATAAGAATATGATGTCGATTATTAATTTAATTGTTATGCACTTTACTATGGGCACGTCTAACTTAAGAATGAGAACTTCAAGTTATCTATGCATTTTATACAGGATGTTGATCTATTCGTAATTATTAGAGAAATTCTTAAGGTAACTACAATAGAGAAATGCGACACTTTAGAGTACAGCATCAGCAGCACTCTTTTGCGAAAGTTCAATTGTTTTATCAGTCACATGGGGGCCTAAAAATTCTCTAAGCACATGAACCAAATAGTAGGACTTAAGAGCAGTGATGGTTTTTTGAGGGTGCTGCATCCTAAGAATGATTTTCTTGAGCGCCTCCTAAGAGTTTACATTGTTGAGTTCTCCATCAAGACATCTTGAAAGAATCTATTATAACTCTTTTTGGTACAAGTATGTGCTTCTGCTTTGGAATATCGTCAATTAGACATTTCAGCCATGAAGTCTCCACCATATCCTTATTCAATATTCGCATGTTTCGCTTGAAGTTGTTGAACATTTTTATTGAATATAAAATTATTAGATTATTTACAAAGCCAGATTGGTATATAATATATAAAATACCTTTTTGCATTAATTAAGTCTTTTATATATATATAATAAATGGAAAATAAATAGTCCCTTTAAATTCATATAAACTTAACTTAGTTTATTTCAAAATAGCACAAAGAAGAGCAATCAGCAAAGTTATATGAAGATTGGCATCAGTTAATAAAACAAAAATTATAAGGCAGCAAATAAGATGAAACTCGCAGATTAGTTTATGGAAGATTGTCAGAAACATAGCAAAAGAGTAGAAGACTTACGCCAAATCAACCAGTGTAAAAAGACCAGGACATCATCAAAGACATAGAAAACATAAAGTTTAGATTGCATAAAATAGATTGAATTATTTAAAGAAGCAAACCAACAAAAATTAAAAATTTTGAATGAATATTATTTGTATTCATTAGTATCAAACAATTATGTACTAATTAATATTAAGCAATCCTAAGAAAGAAGTATTAGAATATGCATGTAAAAACCTAGTTACTTTATTATGTTGCAATATTAATTTTATTAGTATTTTCAAATTTCATTCAATATTATTAGCTTTTTTTAATACGCTTTGCTAATATACATTAATCATTCAATAAATATATTAAAAATTATAAAAGATATTATGACGAAATTTATTCTAGCAAAAGTATCGATTTGGTTGTTCCCTTCTAATTCTACCCATTTTCTAACATAATTCTATTTTGTCATACTCTTAAAAGTAGTTCCGATTTCATTAGAGTATCATGACATCATTATTTTTTGAGTTTGCAAAAATTCGAGTTGTGATTGCTTTGATCAAATTAATTTAGAATTAATGATCGGGCAACAATCAACATCAATCAGGGAAGCATGATGTTTAGATATAGTATTAAAATTATATATTTATTAATGGGGAACCACTATTGCTTTTAGTCAGAAAATCTCCAAGACACTTACAAATCGTAAATGGTAATTACTTGTATTATACTCAGACGCATTGGCACAGCGGGGTGGAAAAAGAAGTTCAAAAATTAGGATTTAATGTGAATGTGAGATCTGATCATCTTCACAAACAAAATTTTATGCAATTATATTCAATCGTTAAACCCTAATATGAAGAAATAGTTACTTTGAGTACGTCAGAATCTCTTTTTGCAACAGAGTTTGAAAATATTAGAATGTCGAAGAAAACTCTGGATCCCTTTAAAGAATTCAATGTTACGACTTTGGTCTAAGACTGTGATCCCTCTTTGTAAGAGTTTGAAAAACAAGTACTTGAATAACTTTCAACTTTAAATGGTTGTTTATTGGAAATTTTTCAAAGTTTTCGACAAACTTAACTGCCCAATAGTAGTAATTTATTGGATACATTTATTCTTAAATTTCGAGATTCATTTGTTTAAGTACATTATTCTTATAATTAATTTAGATCTTAATTCATTACTACAATTTGAATTTATTTGCTTAACTAAATAAATGTCATTTCTTGAACACCTCCTCTCTTTAATGTTTAGTATCCAATATGATTTTCAATGGCAAAGTTGCATCTCATGTTTATGAGGTCAAAAAGCAAGAACAGAAATAAGAAAACTAGAAAATACACAATAAATTGTCATTATTAAGAGAGAAAACATTGGCTGACTTTGGAATTTCCATTAAGTATTGTCTAGATTGTGCAACAAGAGAGTACATCTAGAGTAAATTATCCTCGAAGGTTAACACTTGTACTCGAAGTTCTTAGACTATTTAGCAAGATACTTTTGAGACACTGATAATAGAAGATGTCGATTCTACTTATTTACCTTCAAGACCATAGGCTAAATTACTTTAAGGAACATTTTTTTAATAGTCTCCGTTTTAGAATGCCATCGAAGCACTAAAATTAATTTAATTTCGATAAACACCTCATCATAAAGTTAAATAACTAGTCGCTTGTTTTAGATGCATTTACTCTGCAATCATAGACTATTACAATTATTATAAAAAACAACCGTCAATAATAAGCACGGATGAAATGATACCTATATTTCATTATGTACTTTGCAAATCTTCACTTTAAAATCCATATACGCATTTTGAGATTATGCAAAAATACTTAGGCAATTTAGATGGCCTTGAAGGGTTCTACTTGGCCATTATGGAAGCATCATTCAACATAGCTTGAACATATTTAATTTTTTTTGTATTTTTTTCTCTTTCCAATATATATGAATATTTTAAATATTATAGAATTAACAAAAATTGAAAAAGATGGATGACGATTAAAGACTTCAAAACATATCAAATCAATTGGATAGGTATTAATATTCATATTGATGTCAAATAGAATGAAATTTGAATTTAAAATCAAATTCGAGAAACAATCCGAAATTTTAGAGAAACAATCCAAGATTTTAGAAGCGAATTCATAAAAAATTTAATAACTAGAATAATAGATTAATGAGTTAGACAATTATATTAAAATTAGCTTGCAGGTAGACAATTCAAAAAAATAATAAGAAATCGATAGTTTAAAAGTGGGATAAAACAAGTAATTATAGAATGCATTAATTTCAGACTCACTAATGATTTTAAGAAAATTTGGAATAATTTAAGTTCTGTGTTGAAAATATAAAGAGAAGAATCGCAAATGAAGTCAACTCTATCAGCTTATTAAGAATAATCAACACTGTAAATTGATTCACAATTTTAGTTAATAAGATCAATCTTCGTAAACCAAATAATTCATTCAACAAGAATTCTAAAGTCGATTTCTTCTAATTAAAGACACACTATTGAAAAAATCAGAATTCAATGAATATTCCTAAAAGGTTGAAGAATAATTTGAAACACTTAGATAATAACTGTAAACTTTCACTTAGCATTCATCACCAGATATTGAATTTCGGGCTAGAAAAGAGTCCATCTCGAGCAAACCCCCGTAATTTCAATTCCAATATCCTCCATTTAAGGGAGATGCTTAAGCAATGAAATAGTATTTATGCTTTACTAACTTACAAGGTAGTTAGAAAAAAAGGAATAAGTATAAATCTTAAGCACATAATATTAAGATAAATGATAATTAGTTTTATATAATATAAATATAAACATAAAATTAAAATTTCAGTGTAACATTTTTAGTATTTATCAATTATGATAATATTATTATGTTCAGATGAAATTTAATTTATTGGAATAGAATAAAAATAATATTGAATTAACATCTTGGCATAATAATATTCGACTTCTTAATTGCAATTATTATATAAGAAATATATCCATATTAACGTGTGTTTATTATCTTTCTAAACTAATTATTATAAGAATAAGTTTTTTAAAATTATCACTTTAAAAGAAAATAATCATTTAATTAATTATTTATTTATTTGGTTTATTACCTATAATCAAGTTCTATTTATCAATATTAATAAAATATGTACAAAATTCAAAAATTACATACCCAGATGGATTTGTTTAATCTGCTGTAATTAAAATTATTCATTGTAGAGAAAGGATAATGATAATGGGATTTTCTCATACTTCTTTATGTTTTAACAATTGGAACACCAATATTTGAGACAGGTAATTTGTATAAAATTTAATCTTGGTGAGTAACTTTAAAGTCATAAGCAGTTTTATTTAAGTGATTGTTATTTTTGGGAATAGTGAAAGGAATACTAGTTATATTCACGATATCTCTTTTTTTCACTTGTTGACTTTTTGCTCTCCTTTAAGACTTTGGCTTAAATTCATAAAAATTAGTTTCAGTATTTCCCATCTACCTATTAAGAATATCAATGGCGATCGATTCATCCAACTTGTGTAAATCTTTAAAGTTTAAACTTTGTCTCATCTATCTCTCTATTCTCCAAGTTTAATCACCTATATTAGTAACATCAACAGAATTTTTTTTTTTTTCCTCAAATGTATGTTCTTTCTAAATAAACTATTTAATATTAATTTATTTTGGTTCTGTGAGAAATTGAAATTACAAGTTTTGTTTAACAGCTGTAAATTTGGGTTTTTTATTTTTTTTATCACTTTCTTTGATGATGTAGATTTGCTTCAACAATTTTTAGGTATCAGATGAGTTCAAGATTTGACTATCAGTTTAATCTGTTCTTGTTGATAGTTACTTAGAGATGCTTTATTATATACGAGCAGATAATTAATTTATATTTTGCATATTTTTATATGAACTTATTAAGAAATTATCTGCAGAACTCTAATTATATTTGATAAATAAAATAAATAAATTACAATCTAATCAAAGCTTGTAATATACCTACATCATCTTTATTAAAAAGGAAACTTCTATTCAATTATATATATTTTTAGAGTGGATATCATTCCCTAAATTGTCTAATATTGACACACTAAATTAAAAATATTAAGATATCATTATTTTTAATTCCGATATTATGATGATCACTTTCTATTTTTTAAGAGACATCAATAAGGAGATTTTATTATACAATCATTTTTAGGTTATATAATTTATATTATTTTGATTTAACAATTTAAGGGAAGTAATTCAATCCAAGTTTTCATGCATCAATTAAATTCTAGACCTTTATATTATCTCTGTTTGAATTGATACACATCTTTAAATTTCTTTTAAGAATATATTATTATTCATGATTTTCATAAAAAAATAACAATTCTTCTTGTTTTCAAAGATTATTTTATTCTAATACCTTTTAATTACAACCCCTCTAGATACTCACTTGATCTTCTTGCTTAGAAAGCCTATTGAGTATCTTTAGTCTATTTTTTAATGGGCTTTTTAAACCTTTAAATAATATTATTATTATTGATTATTTAAAAATCTTGAACTATTAATATGATTTCAATTTCTATTTTCAAACTGAATATGAAAATGGAATGGAATGGATGAGTCTTTCTAATTCAAAAAGTAATTAAACAGTGCTTGATTTTTGGGTATTTATATTTTAATATAATAAATGTTATAAATTTTCGTTTTTTCTATTTTGTCATTATTGACATTTGGATTTAATGTGTTGAGGCCTTCCTTTGTGGAAAGAAATAGAGTAGAAATGTCATTCAGTTAAAGGATGAGTTACAATTTTGGAAATAATTTTAACATGTATACAAGTGAAGGAGTTGTAATAAATGACAATTCAATATAATTTGAAAAACCAGGCAGATTAGTTATGAACATTCCTTTGGTAGAAGGGATTGACTACGCTTTACAATTTAAATTCGACAGTTTGAATGCAAATCATATTGCATGTGTAGGGATCGGTAGTTAGGGGTTCATTTTATCAGAGGTCTTGGGAATTGAGAAAACCAATCTCAGTCATTTTTAATTAGGATATTGTAGCGATGGAACCAATTCTACACAATACCCTGACATGTATACAGATTTTAATGAATTTGATTATTATTCTGATGAAGAGTTTGATGAAATAGATTATTCATTTGGTGAGTCATAAATGACGAATGTTTTTGGATAAAAAGAATTTTATATGGTATTAAGAGAGAGATAATTAATATTTATGGATAACGAAGAGTACAAATTTAGAATAATTTAGTTCTATTTTAACTATTTTTAATGATCTAGATAGAGCGAGAGCTTTTGTTCCCATAATTACTATGCATTATAGAAATGAAATTCAAAAGAAATTAATAAAGAAAAGAGAGTGTGTGGTAAGAGAGGAATACGCAGTTTTATTATAATTGGTGGGTCAATTGAATCCTTTCAAAAGGGAAATGCCTCCAGAAATGAAAGCTTAGAGAGAGCAAGAGAAAAAGAAGAAGGAGACTGAATTAGCGAAAATGTTGAAATAAAAATAGGATGAAAACGAAGATGAAAATCAAGAAGAAGAATAAGAAAAGAAGGAGGAAAAAGAGGAAAAGGAAGAAACAGATGATGATGTAAAAAAGGAATAGTAAGATGCAGTTAAAAGAAGTGAAGAAACTAAAAAGATGCATGAAGATATTCATAATCAAGGTGAGGAGTCTAGTGATCAAGCAGCACTTGCAAATGCCTAAGGAGAAGAAGAAAATATAAATGAGGACAATGCTGCTGATTAATAAGATGCTCTTGCGGAAGGAGAAGAGGTTTAGTAGGCTGATTAACAAGATGGAGAGAAGGGAGAAGAAAAAAAATCAGACTAAACTGATGAAAAGGGAGATGAGTAAAAAGAAAATGAATTGACTGATGAAAAAAAATCTCAAAAAAATGATGAAAATAAATCAGAAAACTAAGAAGATTAGATTTCAATTGATGGGAGTCAAAATTAATCAGAAAATCAACAATTAGAAGATTAAGGAGAATTTTAATCTGGAGAGTTAAGTAGTGAATAATAAATGAAAACTGAAGATGATACTACTGAGAGTATTGCTAGTGTATTAGATGTTTAATCTCATATTATATCTGCTACATAATTCACAAGAGAAATAATACCTTTAAGAAATAGCGTGGTAGTTGAAAATAAATATACTGTCTTTTAAGATAATTAGAGATTGGCAAAGGCTTTGCAAGATTATAAGAGTTGTGGATATTCCTATTTAGATATTCGTCCTTCTTAAAACAATTTTTTTGTTTAAATTTAGATTGACAATTTTGATGATTTATATGATACTTATCCTATAGGATTTGGAGTATATGCTTATCAGATGCTTGATAGATTAAAAGGATGGAGAAACTTGGATGATTAACTTTGGTGCATTGATAAAGAGAGTGAAGATTTATGGCAATTTGGTGCTCTTTATAGATCAGATGGAACATTTATTGATAGTTATATGTTTGGGGAATATTTCAAATATAAAGTGGATAAATAGGCATAAAGGCAAACTAAAATCAATATTTATTTTTCTAATAAAAATAGAGTAGCATTCAGTTTCGATGATGAGAAAACTATCATGTTAACGTGTGTAAACCCGAAGTTCAAGTATTATGTTCCCATTTTTGAAACTAAGGCTTATAAAGGTGTTCCTTCAATGACATTATTGCAATATGTTGATGACATTTAAATTCCATTTGAGTATTCTGATAGCATAGAAAATATTCAGAATGCTTTTAGTAAAATCTTTAGTTTGATTAACAAGTTTATAATTGAAAAAAGAGGTTCATTTAATGAAGATGATGATGATTACACTATTTCTGGTATTGATGATGATAAAGGTGCTTCTATTAATATGTGGGATATTAAGTTATATGATGCTCAATATGAATGGTGGATTAAAATTGATGACTTAAAGCAAGATAAACAAGATATTAATATATGTATTGGAGTCAACTAAATGAGTTCTGAAGACATTTTAACAAATCTATTTGATAGACAATATAAAGCATAGGTTGCTTATATTTGTGATAAGAATGATTTTATTCATACATTCTTTTAAGAATGCCCAATCAGTTCAAATCCTATCCTCTTAGTTCCAGGAAGTGTATTAAGATTTAGATTAAGTGATTATCTGATGGAAGTCTATGATGGTTATTAATTTGCTTATTTCTCCCTTCGAAAAGCTGGCAAAACTGGAGTGATTCCAAGTGCTATTATAAGATCTGATTCTAAAAATAAAATCACCTTCTTAAAAGGACCAATTAATTTTGGACCAAATCCTTTGGCTGATAGAGTTGATTATGAATAATTAAACAGAGAAAACTTTGCTAGTTATGACATCTTTACATTCCCAATTTTGGAACATGCAAAAAATGGACTATTCAAATCTAATACTAATGAGCCTCTATTTAAAAAGAACTAAGTACCAAAACCAGGTAAAAAAGAACCTCCTCTGGGTAGGAACTATGAGACAGAACAAGAAGAGCAAAAAGTAGAGGATCAACCTACTCATCAGGAATCTAATAAAGAAGAGGAATAAATGAATGTTGAAAATGAGGAAGCCAAAAAAATAGTTTCATCTAATGTTCCAAGTGAGGCACATGCAGATATTCGTATTATATTAATTTACTTTAGATGGAGATACTAATGTTAAATGTTTGATTATTTATGAACATTGTGATTTTGAAGGTCCTAGCAAATTGTTATATCCAAATAGGTTCGAAGCTGGTCCCCCTAATGAATTTCGATCTTTTGAACTTTGTAGGGACACAAAACTCATTGAAATTATTATTGAAGGACATGTACAAGAAAAGATGTTTGTGTCTTAATCAGTTGAATGTCTCCCTAGTCCATTTTTTGTAGATGAAATTATAATTATGTGAAATTAAAATATTAAATTTATCATTATTATTATACATATAATGTGTTTAACTATTAAAATTGAAATCCTTCTAGTATTTATAATGATGAAAAATTTATACAATCTTAAATAATTGCATTCATAACTTTGAAATTTTTCAAATTGGTGCTTGCTTTTCATCAATCTAAAATTAATCATTAAATCAACTAATTATTTATACCCCTTCATTTTCTCAAAATTAATCAAGCCATAGTAATTATTTCAAATAAATCCTTAATTTCGAATTAATTTTCTATTAAAAATAATTAGATTTTTTTAGAGAAAATAACAATAAGACAGAGAGATGAATGGAGTATAATAACTTCTTGACGATTAAAAGTAAGAATTCAAGAGCAAAAATATGAATTAAGGAAAACCATTTGAATCTTCAAAGAAAAACTAATCAAATTAAAATAGTCCAATTTTCACCAAATATTGTTCTAATTCTATTTCTTCAAAATCTAACAACAATAATCTCTCATATTTAAAGAATGACGGCTCTGTTTCGAAAATGTTGTCTCAAACCATGGCATATTCTGATAAACCATTAAATTATAGTAAATTAAACGAAAAGCCAAATGGTAGTGAAAATAAAAAAGTTGAAAAATAGGTAAAATCACAATATTAGCGATATATAAAAAGAAATGATGATAGGAGATTGAGAGTATGTAATGTTTTGAAGGATTTATCTAGTAATACTTCAGAGTTACGTAATGTTGAGGATTAATATAAATATTATGTTAGAGAAATAGAAGATAAATCAGCCTTGTATAAGAATTACAGCTTAAATTTCCAAAATAAAGCAATTGTAGGCAAAATCTGTAATGCATTCTTACAAGTCAGAGGGGATGGAAACTGCTTTTATACTGCTTTTGGTTTCTAATTCCTTTATCATTTGCTTTTTTCATATTCTGATGAAGAATTTGATTAATTCATTAAGAAAATCTTGGATTAGTAAATCAGTTTTGGGATTAAATATGCCAGGAAATAAATAGATGACAAGGAGACTCAAAAAATTTGTCTGGAGGAATTTATTTATCTAATAGAAGACCTGAGGTAAGAAAGATAGGAAGAAAGGTTCGAGAAATTCAGGCAAAGGTTTGCTAATTGGAAAATTAATGAAAATGGAGATGGTTTCTTATATTGTTTATAGACTATATTCTTCAGAAATTTAAGTTATTTGTATTTGGAGAAAAGTGACTTCAAAGATATTGTATTAGATAAAGAAAATTTATTAATTTGGGAGGAAGAGTGTAATACAAATGAAGTAATCATAAAACTATTGGCATAAGAATTAAAAATGTATTATATTTTAAAGTTATAATTAGACATACTAAATTATTATTTCTCGATAATGAAATATCAATAATGGAGTACGAGGAAGAGAATAAAAACACAATAATACTGCTTATCAAACCTGGGCATTACAATATAGGCTGGAATATCAAAGAGTAATGAATATAAAATTTATATAATCATTATCTTAATTTTTTGGATTATGTTCTTTTGTTAACAAAACATAACATCTTTCTTAGTTTTTAAGATTAGTTTAATCTGAAAATTTAATAATTTCTACTATATTATATTAATCAAAAATATTAATAATTTTAGATTTATCATACTCATTATGGTACTGTGTAATGCTCAGGGCCAAGGGTAACTTTCTTAGCATCCAATGTAAATTCAATATTTTATTGTAAATTTGGTAAAACTAACAATGTTCTTATTATGGTATCAACTTCTTTTTCATTATAGGATTCCTATGATGTCAAAATAAAATTATACCAACAATTTTTATTTATTAAATAAAGGAGAATGCTTGGTGATCACAATGCTAAATTTATGGTTATCGACATCAGTATCTTCTTTTCCAATTACGTGTAAGAATTAATGTTTTTAATCAGATGAGAATACTGGTTTCTTAATTTAATTTCTGATCCATGTAATTCCAGATTGAACTGCATTTGATAATTCAGATTCAACTTCAAATTGATAGAAGATAAGGATTTTATCCTCCAATTATAAACCTAGCTTCTTTCTTAATTTTTAAATTCTATTTGTGAATTCTCTTGCCAATCCAAGATTCTTTAGTTCTTGAGTCTATGATGGATCTAGAATAATAGAGAATCCATCTTCTGTAGCAAACAATAACTACTTATGTTTTTCAGTGTTGAATTAATCAGTTATTTTGACATGCTTTAACAATAATTCGCAATCCAGCTCTACTTCAATATATTCCACATTCTTTTTACCCTTTTTAGCTTTAGGATCTGGCTATTATTAAACCTATTCTTCCACCTTCTTTTCCTTCTTGACTTTCACCTTGAGTTATAATTTACCATCAGTTTTGAGTGTTCGGATCTATTCTTAAGTGAAGTTACGAACTTATTAAATTAGATCAGGTCCAAATTTATCTTTCAATTCTTATCCACAAATTTTATTGTCAGGTTCAGCCTTAAGTTGAATGTATTAATCAATATTCTTTTCAACTAAGACCGAAGGTGTATTGATTTCTTCTTCGATGTACTTCGATAAGAATTGAACACTCTAAAGTAATTATTCATCTGTTGCCAAGATTGTCAAACTATTAACTGGTTATTTAAGACTTAGTTTATGGGCTTCTCTTAATTTTCTAGCGGATTCAACAACTATTTGCATCTTTTCAACTTGAGATTCAATTTTAGGATCAATCAATTCCTTTCTGACCTCAGGGATTTGTAGGAAATGGATTGATTCTTGATTGTTTTTACCTTATGGAATACATTTCTTAAGATTTTGATAGAATGATTCTGTAATGAATGGAACATATGGTGACATCAAAAGAGTGATTTTTAAGAGAACATCAAATAACACATTTAAACTAACAACCCATTCTTGGTTTCCCTAATCTCCCTTGATTCTACTTCTATTCAATCTAACATACCAGTTAGTCAATGTATCTAGATAACTAATCAATCTGGGAACAATGGTGTAAAGTCTATAGGCTTCCATCTCATTTCTAACAAATTCAACCAAGGTTTGACTGCTTGATACAATCCATTTATCCATAGTATTATCTCCTTTTGTAATGGCATTTTCATCAAATTCAAATTTGCCTAGAGCACTTTCATATCTCTATACATTTTAAATCAAAAATCTATAGGCATTGTACCAGGGCAAGAATACATTCTTAATAACTTCTTAAACACCATCCTTGCTGAAATTCAATGGTTGAGCCTTAACCAATCCACTATTAATAAGATACAATCTCATAGCATCAGCTCCAAATTGATTAATAATTTCTACTTCAGGATCTGGATAGTTCTTCTTACTTTTTGACATCTTTTCACCTTTATCATTCAACACAATTCCATTGACAATTAAGTTCTTGTAAGGAGTGTCATCACGTAAGGCTGTTGCAATAACATTCAATGTATAGAACCATCCTCTTGTTTAATCTAATCCTTCAGCAATGAAGTCAGCTGGGAAGATAGTTTCGAATAACTCTTTTCTTTCAAATGGATAATGTTATTAAGCAAAAGGCATAGATCCACTCTCAAACCAACAATCAAAGACCTCTTCAATTCTTCTCAATACACCCTTTCCTTGTTTGCTTGGGATTGTGATGTGATCAATGTATTCTCTATGAAGATCTGTTATGTTTTCAACTCCAGAAAGTTACTTCAATTCTTCAATGGAACCAATGCAAACCATTTCTTCAAAGTCATCACTGACCCAGATTGGAATAGGATTACCCCAGAATCTATTTCTACTGAAACACCAATCTTAGGCATCATCTAACCAATTGTTAAATCTTCCATCTTGAATGGATTATGGTACCCATCTAGCCTTCTTATTGTTTACAACAAGTCTATCCTTAATTGATGTAACCTTAATAAACCAACAGTTAACAGCTTTATATATTAATGGGGTTTAAGATCTCCAACAATAAGGATAATTATGTTGAACTTATCCATCCTTAATCAATCTTCCATTAGTTTTAAGTAACTTTCTTATTTCCTTATCTGCATCCTTCACTTACATTCCTGAGAAATCTTTGACTGATTCCAAGAATCTTCCACTTGAATCAATGGGTACCAAAGGATCAGATGGAATAATGATGCCAGCCTTTAAACACGCTTTGTAATCGTCATCACCAAAACCAGGAGCACAATGTACTATACCAGTACCATCATCACTAGTAACAAAGTTGGCAGCCAAAACTCTATAGCATCCTTATTCTTTTCTTTCTAAAAAGTAATTGAATAATGGAACGTATTCAGTTCCAACTAATTCAGAACCTTTGAATTTCTCCACAACTTCATACAACTTAGCATCAGTATACAACTCAACAATTCTTGACTCTGCCAAGATGTAATGAGTATTAGATGCTTTATCAAGTAATTTCACATAAACTAAATCTGGATGAACAGCTAATGCTAAGTTACTAGGCAATGTCCATGGAGTTGTTGTCCAAGCAACGAATTTAGTCTTCTCGTCTTTAACCAATGGGAAAGTCACTACAATAGCAGGATCCCACACATTCTTATAATTCTATTAGGTTTCGAAGTTGCTTAGAACTGTGGAACACCCGTTGGAATATGGCATGACTTTGCATCCTCTATATACTAAGCCTTTCTCCCACATTTGCTTGAAGACCCACCAGACACTTTCCATAAAGGATGTATCCAAGGTCTTGTAATCATTATCAAAATCAATCCATCTTCCTGTTCTTCCTATTATTCTTCTCCATTCAGATGCATATCTCATGACTATTGATCTGCATTCATGGTTGTATTTATCAATACCCATCTAAACATATAATACTCATTTAAAACCTTTAAAATATCACCTCTATGTTAAATTTTAAGAGTTTTATCAATTTCATGTTCAACTGGCAATCCGTGGCAATCCCATCCGAATCTTCTCTCCACATATCTCCCATTCATTGCAAAATACCTGCACACTACATCCTAAATTTTTGGTATGAAATTATACTTTAATGGTACCAGCACACATATGACCATAATGAGGTAATCCAGTAGCAAAGGGAGGTCCATCATAAAATGTGAATCGTGGACAATCTTTTGTCAATTCCAATTATTTATGAAAAGCATTGATCTATTCCCAATATTTTAGGATTCTGACTTCCTCTTCAGGGAAGTTGGGTCTTTCGACAACTATTAATTAAATCTAAGTCGTTACCATTAGTGAAATCTGTTTTCTAAGCCATACACAAAAAAGTTAAGAATTTTTAGATTTTAAATTAAATCCTTTAAATCATGAAAAAGATAGTATTTGTGTGACCAATTTATATTAATACTCATAATTCCACATCATATAGTCCATCATTAAAGTTTTCAATTGAATAGAATCGACATGTCATTATTCGTCCTCCGAACACTCGCTAATCTGCTGCCAAAAACGCTGCCATTGCTTCCTCATTACTATTATTACTCCCCATATTCCTTACTTTGCATATTCGATAAACACTCTCACTTGCATGTCCTCCTCCAATTCAGCTTTTATGTGAACATGAATTTTCTTGATGAACCCATACTTCCCTAACTCCGCCTTTATATCATCCTTAAAATATTCATCGACGTCCTTTGCTGTAATTGCATTCAACAACACTAATATGTTTGTGGGCTATCTATCAATGAATATTCCTATACTATTTATGCTGTTCAAAGGTTTTCCTAAACACTACATTTTATGGAAGTAAGTCTGTAAAATCCAACGAACTGACCTCAATCACTCCCACACTATTCGAGGTCTTTATCACCTCTATTGGATTCTAAATCCCCTAATTGTACTTCCCCAATCCTAAGCCAAATTTATATCCGAATTTCTCCATCATTTTCAAAGCCTTCTCCTCTCCAGATCCTAATTCCACCTCATCATAAGACGGCTCTGTCTCCTCTTCTATTTATTATGGCTACGGCTGCTCATTTTATGTCTCCGATTGATTCATCTACCTTTTCAATTCCTCATAATCATTAGGTCTGCTTGGATCGTACTCTTGAGGCTTATTCACTATTGGAGTCAATTTAGTTGAGTTCTTGCACACACGAAGAATGCTGCTCAACTTATTATTTAAATGAGATAAGTCCTATTATTGACTAAATATTTTACTTTACTAGCTGGAAGCTGCTGTGGTTATTATTACTATTATTGGACTTATTGAGCCTATGATTATTAAACTTGGTTTGCTGCGCTACTCTATTACGAAGGAGCTGTTTCTACTGCTTATGCAGGTTCCACTTCTTGTTATATTTCCGCAAAGAAATTTTGCATAGCTGCATTGATTTAAGCATTCTCAACAGGTTAAGGCCTAAATTTTGGAACTGGAGGAGGCACTCTTCTCTTTTAGGGTTCCTTGCATTCCATTTCATTCATTTTATATATTAGAACAATAATATATTATTGAATTAAAAGTTTAAATTTATATATCTAAAGAAGTATAGGTTGAATAGATGAATAAGGAAGGAGTAGAATATTAACTTTCGGATTTTGGTAAATCCTAATCCGAATTCATCATCAGGATCTTTACTAATTTTAACATTGTATTTGCATAACTTTATTAAAAGTTATACTTATAATGTTAATGTTATTCTAATAAATATAATATTTATCTTCACATTTTACAATAATTTTAACCTCTCACTTGAATAGTATTATGTGAATAATATCGTAGTTTCAATTTAATTTCTAAGTCAAGATTACTAATGCTTGTTTTTATTATTTTTAAGTATATAAAATATTTATAGATTATTTAAATGAGTTACTTGTTAAATAGAAGCATAATTTAATTATTAATATTATTTCAAAATTTCAACTTGATTTCTTTTTCTTCTTATTTTTATTTCCTATTTTTTCTCGAAGTTGTTTATCCTTTCTTTAATCAACTTCCATTTCCTCTTTGACATCTTAACCCTTCGAATTATCCTTCATTTTCATATATAATAAGTCCAATCGATAGAGACAATCGGATGGCAATGGACTTGACTCCAACTCGAGAATATAAGGTCTAAAGAAGTGATATTATAATAATCTACCTATGAATCTCAATATCCCAATATGTAGCGTTGTCAAATTGTAAAAATGAAGTCCACCTACCTTTAATATTTATATTATATGTATCTAAAATTTCTTAAGGTAAAATTTTTAATTTTATTCCCGAATTAGTTTTGTGAGCTTTTAAACATTTTTAAATGCACTCTGGAGTGACTTTGCATATCTTCCCAATAAACTAGTCTATTTTTTATGATGAGGAACTAAAAAACCCAGCATTTTTATCCTTGGGATTGAAAGTGATTTCAACTAATAACTAATGTTCAGGTTAGAAACAGTAACTTCTTTTATGACAATTGACACTTCTTTATCCCAACAACACCCCATAGAGCATAAATGGTTATGCCATATAATAAAATTTAAGATTAGTATTCTAAAAATGTATTTGTGAATGGCCTTGTTGTTCACCTGCCAAACTATTAGTTCCCATATTTACCATGGGACAGAATGCCCCGAACAATTTGTAGCCTCTCCCATACATGATATAATTAGAGATTGGAGGATGATGAGAAGTTTACTCCAGATATATAGGACATCCTTTAATTCTACCCTCAAAAGTTTCTCCAATAATTGGATTGAATGGTTTTTCTTATTGGACTCCCATCATGAAACTTGCTATATGAAATGAAACTGAGAGCTTTAATTGTTCAAAAACATCTGTAGTTTAGGCAGCTTTTTCAAGAAAAACAGGAGCATGTCCTTGACCTCTGGCCATTCTCTCCAAAAAAGATCTTGCTTCGAACACTTAAATTGGTAAGGATACGGACATCAAGGATTTTCCACTTAGTAAATTTGATCCCATTCTTTTGATGATATCTAGTAAGACACTTCTTTAATCGCTAATCAATTTCTTATTTGTGTATATTAGCCCTCCTTTTTTTGGATCTACCTCATAATACTTAGTCAGTAAGAAATGACCATCTTCTTTGGTTGTTTCCAAAAACTTCTCCAAACCAGGTAATATATTTTGATTAAATTTCCTTTAGATGGATCTCTAAATAAATTATCCTGTCTAAACCAAATCTAAAATTTCTTTATACTCTTGGAGTGATTATTATTGATGCTATTCGGAAGTAATTCTTTATACTTCAGGCACTAATTGAATAAAGGAAATCTGCAAATTATCAATGTCATCATCTTCATTCTTAATCAACACATGTTCTGTTTACTATTTGATATAATGATCTGCTTCTATTATTTGATTATCAATATTTTCGAAATTGAGGAGAAACCTTTTCATAACTTCTTCTCCTTTTTCTCTGTTCTCACAATCTAAATATATGTCTTCAATTATTTGAGCCTTAAACTTATCTTCTTGTTTGGCCTATATAAGAACGCAAGATCTAGTAATCTTGTATTCATCAGTGCCTTCAGCTTTATCCTTATCAATTTGATTGTGATGCACCTCATTCCCGATGTATTTTTTCAAAATACAATAAGCATTATCATCTATTTAAAAATGTTTTTAGGTGTATATCAATCTGATTTTCTCATTCTAAATGGGTGCGTGAGATTTTGGCTACTTTGAAAAACTCTCCTGTGAAAAGAATTCATGTTCTATGTCCTTTTAACTTTATGGCTTAGTTTATTTAAATTAATTGTTCAAATACTTATGTCCCATATCGAATTCTGCATAAATTATGGCACAGTCTTTTTTAGTTGGAAATACTTAATATATAGATACTTGAGGGTTCAAATTGTCTGCAAATGTGTGTATCGACAATTCCTATAATAGATTCTAAAAATGGTTACATCAAAAATCCTTGCTGGAGGTATTTCTGATTTTAAAAAGAATCTCATATGCAATTAATCATTCGGGTCTTAGTATAGTTATTTGGTTGGTGATTAATATAAGACTTTGAATGAATGGATATCCGAAAATCCTTGCAAATTCTCGAGAGTATTTTCTAATATTATCTCTATGTCATTCTTGATGTTATAACAGTATTTACTTATAAAAATTATGGCAATAATGGAATCATCTATCTCACTCGAGATACCTAGCTTGGTTTAATAGCCATAGAAGGAACCCCTTGATTAATGACTCTTTCTGACTCTGGCATAAATTAATCCCATTCTTAGAGAGTTTTCTCTTTTTTTTCCTTGGTTATTTGCATTGCCAAGTATTTTCCATTAAAAAAATCGTACCATTATAATGCCTCTGATTGGTTATTCCAACCTAATCTAACCAACTTTGGTTCAATTTCTTATTGAGTTTTTAATTTTATTGTCCATTTTCCTTGATGAAATCCAACAGGATGGATGACATAATTTTGAATTTACAACTACTTTTATGTTTAACCCTTGACGTCAATATACCTGAGTATCTCTCTATATATCATGGCCTTACCTATTATTTCAAATCATATATTAAAAGCCTTTCTCCCCATCCTTTCAATACACCACTCTCTTTAAATGCACTACAACTCATTAATGCATTCTTATTACTATCGAGCATTCTGATAATTAAATTTATAATAAATAACAAAATATAATTTAATTCAATTAAAACTCTTAACAAATGAATTATCAACACTTCATAATTGATTTAAATGAAATTTCACACAATTAATTAGAATATAATCTTAATTTTCTTAAATTTTTGATTTAATCTATGATATTATTTAAGATCAATTGTTTAATTACTTCTGCAATTATACAAACAAAATATTAGTTTAGATATCATTTTCATGCTTACTTAATTAATTAATTTATTCAATATCAAATTTATTTAAAATTATTTTATAAACTATTCAAATAGAGTATTAGCTAAGAAATTATTGTAAGTTAAGTATAATTCAAATTATTAATAAACATTTTATTTGTATTTGTGTCATAATGTCAAAGTAGAAGTTTTAATTTTTAACATCTATAATGCCTTCAATCCCAGGACTATTCTAACTATATCTATCAAAAGTCTCATCATCTATTTTTGACCCTTCATGCAATCATATTTAATTTTAATCCATGACATTTATCCTCATTTTGTTATTCATTTCATTAAAATTCTCTTCTACAATTAATAATTGAGTCATCTATTAAGTTTGAATTTTAATTTACATCATATTCTAAATTTTAATTAGTTTGAAATTATCAATTATCATAAAATCAAATAATTCTATGCTTTTAGATAAATCATTTTTAAATCAATCCATTTAACTTAATGTGCTATCTAATTATTATCAAATAATCTTATTAGATTACACTTAATACTTAGCTTTCTTAGTGATTATTTAATTATAAAAAAATCTAACATCAGCTAATAAATTGATATTATTAATTAGTAATATACTTACCCAGGGAAGACAAAAAAATCAAAAAACACTAAAATGTATATATCAAAAAATTATATTAAAAGCTATTTCTTAAAATTGGTTCTAGCTTAAACATAAAAAATGAAAGTTTGGAACCATCAAGAATTAGTATATGGGATTTAAATTATTAAGTAAATTACAATAATTAAAAATTAGCTTACGTAAATTATGAATAAAAAGTAAGGATCATATGCTAGTACGCTTAAAGAGAAGATAAGGCTTATGGATATTTTTGGTTAATCCATATAATTAAGCTTTAGATAGGAAGAACAACATACTACTTTTGTTGGAGGAGTAGCTTCAATATTGGTATTGGCAACAATTATCAGTTTTTTCTACTCCAACATAATAGGATTTTTTACAATGAATTAAGTGAAATCCTCGACAGAAATGATTTTTGAAGATGATCCTGGAATGATCTAACTAAATTCTAACACTTTTATGTTTGCTATTTAAATTGAACATGACAATTTCGTTGACACTCCCTTCTTTAACATTACCGTGGAATAGAGACATTATAAAAATCAAAATGGTACTCTTACCAAACTACCTAATGAATATATTGATTTAGTAATTTGCACCTAGGAGCACTTTTAATAAATATTCTCGTCTTCCAACATTGATAATGCAGAGTAATTCAAAGATTTGAACATGACCAACTTCCTATGTCCCAATATTCAAAAAAGAAATGTTTGGACAGTAGGGGGAGCATATACAAGTAAGATAGTTATAATTAAATTAGGTTCTGATTATTATTTCCTAAAGTTTTCAGTTACTACATGTGTAAATGATACTTAAAGTGATTTCACATGGAAGCCAAAATGCAGAACTTAGGATGAAATGTTCACATAGTTGAAAGCTTAGGGTTCTTTTCGATTTCAATTATTCACTACAAATTTTGTACTTCAATATAACCTATTGAAAGATTGTAAATCCAGATTCCCCACATGAGTATATCACACCTTACTTGGCAATTGAACAATTTTACACATTTGTACCAAATCAAATGTTTGTTTAATCTGATATCTTTGTTAGGGAAAAAAGAATTAATACTGATAAAGGTATTTTAATGTACCCCATGAACGTTGAAGAGACTGTAGCCTATAGAGAACACATGGATAGCAGGTAATAATTTGAAATCGGAGGACTCAATAGTAATTATTATGCTGCGTTCTACTTGTAGAGGAGCCCTTTTAGCTATAATATTTCTAGAAGTTTTGTAACTCTGGATGAATTATTAAGTTATTTGGGAGGATTCTCATAATTTATGACTGTCATTTTAGGAATGATAATAAACGTATATAATAAACAGAGTCTCTTGTTGTAGTTGGCAAATGATTTATATGAGTTTAATTTCTAAGAACAACAAGAAAATACAAGAGCTTTTATATCAAATTTGTTATAGTAATCAAGGCATGGAAGGGAAATGATTAAATAGAAAGGTCAAACAAAAGAGTTAAAGATCCAATCAATCAACCCTTTTACGACTAAGCCTTAAATGGATTAAAAAGTCTCCCAAGTGATATCACCTTAACGAACTCAGAATTAGTTTATCCAGATTTCATCAACAAGGTAACTTTAAAGCATGAAAGAGAAGACTTATGATCAATATGAAAAGTTCAAATCATTCATGATAAATTAAAAGAAATTAACTTTAGGTTTTAGGATATTGTTAGGGGATCTTTTGCCATTTGATTGTTTATAGGACCCAGAGAGTGTTCTATTTAAAAAGGCTATGTAGTTTTCATCTTTCTATTTGTTAGGAATCAAGTTAGCAAAGAGTTAGATATACGATATATCATGAATTAATTACATGAAATCACAAAGCTAAAAAAGGTGATGTTCAGCAGAGAATAATTTTAACTCTTTAATTTTAGCCACAAGCCAACAATAAGTTTAGTCAAAGAAAAGAAAAATAGATTATCATCAAAGTATTGATTTATGGAATCCCTTTAGATTATTATTTTTGGGTGAAGAGGAGGCTGTTAATAATGAATTGCAAATTTAATATAACACATTAGTATAAGCATATTCCAAATTAACATCTTGTGATACAGTATTTTCAGATGACCAGATTTAGTTAAACTAAAGAATCATCGGACTTTTGGGAAGGGATTTACCACTCTGGATGGAAATGGAATTGCAGTAAGAAAATTCAGAATCCATAAAGGAGCCTGAACCAGATGATTTAGATGAATTATCAAAAACTTGAAATGATTATATTTTTTCATACATCATAGCAAACTTACTGTCGCTTAAAATCTTCAGCTGTCTTAACTCTATCAATAAATTTTATATATAATAGTCTTGATCTCTGTTGATATTTGACTTTTTTAGATTAAAATTAAGCAATTTTGTTTATTATTAATTAAAATATATGTAAAGTAATTTGATTTAAGTTGGTTTCATATAAGAAATACTTAATAACCTAAATTTTTCTTTTTTCAAAACAAAAGTAAATAATTATTTTATTATTAAGTATTGATAATTTATATCTTCCAGAATATTCAAGAAAAATGATAAAATAATAAATACTTTGAATTGTAAGTTTTAAGAGTAAAGAATTAATTTAACTTTCCTTTTATAATGTGATTTTATTTACATAAATCTTAACAAAAAATAAAAATCTTTCAATGTAACACCTAAATTTCTCTCTCACTAAATAAGTCCTCATCTTTTGGGTCATTGTTTACAGATTCCACTTATTACTATTACTATTAAGCACTTAATTCTTTTTCTAATACTCTCATTAAATCAGGGCCTAATAAAACAATTAATCTTTAATTAAATCTAATTTATTCTTAGGTTTAATGTTCTTAATCTTATCCAGTCACTTTGTCATAAGAATTCACAAGATCTAAAAATTGTTTCATCATTCCACAATCTTCTGCAGTTGTCATGCCATCAATTATGCATCTAAATCACATTAAAATCTTACCTTGTTGATCTTCTCTTATTACTATCTTAAATTAATGCTATCTTTGGTTTTCGAGTAAAATTAAAAAGCGTAATTTATTCAGAAGTAAACAAAATTTATTTTAATTTTGTCAATTCATGAAGTTTTTTGATAATGTACTCGATATCTAACTCTTTATTGACTTAGTCACTTAAATTATAAATAATTTATATACATAGCTCTTTGCAGAACCATACAATCATCATCTTTTAAAGATTCTATAGGAATTATAGAAGTTAATATGACTCTAAAGTTTAATCCAATAACATGTTTCCTCTTCAAAAATTCTTTGAAATCGTCAAAATATTATAATGTTTTCGCTTTCATTGCAGAAAGTCTAGATTACAACACTTATTGAGTAGGTTATTATAATTCAATAGACATTTTTTTGTCAAAAATTTGTGATTTCTTCTATTGCAAAGGAGTAGATGTTTATAGCATTTCAGGTTTATTTTGAAATGCTGTTAAGGTTTAAATTTTAGGAATAGTTTCGATTTTTTTAGACATTTTGCTCTTCAACATCTCTCTGCCTCTCTCAGTTCTTGCTAATAAGCTATTCAAATGGATTTGCGTATTTTATCGGCGTGAGCTCATATCAAATTCATATAAATCATTAGCCATGGATATAATCAAATGTTGTCGATTGTAGAATCTAACAACTATTCCCACGACAACAATCATGAATTATGTGAATCCTCCTAAATAACTGAGTAGTTCATCAAGTCTTAAGAATTTTCTATTAATGTTATACGAATAGGGACTTCTTTGAAAATAAAATGCTCCATAATAATTGGGTGTTATTCTAGAAATCTCAAATTATTCCCTTTAATCTCCATAATCTCTAAAGGCAAAGGTTTCATTTTATTTCTAAGGATACATTAATATTCCCTGATCTGTTGTTACTTTCTTAGTTCTGAAAAATATATCTGATTAAACAAACATTTTATCCGGCACAAAAGTATAGAACTGATCAATTGCTAAATAGGGTTATACGTAATCCTTGGGTCTATTTGGGTTTATAAGCTATTATTATTATTGATATAAGTTACAAAATTTGTTGTAAAAACTTAAAAACGAAAGCTTCCTTATTAATTTAAAGTGCTCAATATTTCATCTGAAGTTTTACATTTCGGTTACCAAGTAAAATTACTTGATGAAGAATCCCTGCAATTAGTAACAGAGAACTTCAAAAAATAATAATCTGTGCTTGCCCAAACACCTCCGACAGTCATATTAAGACTATGAATGAAGTTAGGATTAGGGCATAAGAAATTTTTTAAATTTTATTGTTCAAATTACTATCCAAAATCCACACTGTACTTTTCAAACAAGGGTTAAAAATGTTGAAGAGTACATGGTACTAAATCAATATATTTATTTGGGTAGCGGTATTAAGTCCCATTTGGAAACCGATAATAGTGACGCTATTCAACAGTAATATTAAAGTAAGGGTTTGTTGTAAAATTGTCTTATTCAATTTGAACTGCAAACATGAAGTGCCCTTTGTCTAAGATCAATACATCAGGATCATCTGCAAAAGTGAATTCTTGAGTAGAAGTAACATTTAATTTTGCGAAAAAATTAATTATGTTTGAATAGAAAAAACTGATTATTGTCCCGATTATACATATTGATAAAAAGCCACCCATACTTGTTTTGTATTATTCTTCCTTACGAAAACTTAAGCTGATGGATTACCCAAATATATCTATCTATTTCAATCCTTCTTTAAATTTCTAAAGCATTTTATTTATAATTATTTTTGAAGATTGTTAATAAATTACACCATCAAATAATGCTTGCGTCATGTTATAATCTGTCATACGATTATTAAATTTGAAATGCAATATTGCCATATATATTTGATAAAAAACCTCTACACAGCATTAATATTTAATATATGTAAATTAATAATAATTTGATATTATGTAATTATAGAAATTTTGATTAATTAAAATTATTTGATCTGCTATCGTAGTTCCTCTATTTTCACAATTCTTACTTCCAACAAAATCTATTTGAGGATATTTAAGCTAAACTTGTATTATCACTTAGATTTTGATTTAAGTAAACAATCAACATTTAATTGAAACTTCTTACTCTAATTCAACCTCATTGTTAAACCATTTATACTGAGATTAAGAAAAATACTTAGCCTCTCCTTATTTATAATATATTTTTTAGATTAAAAAACATTCCATTTTCATTATTTATTTTTAATATGTCCTGTTATTTTCTGAATCTGTTATAAATCTAAATACTTTTAAGGAATTATTCTGAGAACAACTTAATTATTTCCTTTCAGTTTACTTGATTAGCTAAATGACAGTCCAAACATATTTTATTATGAACAAAATTATGTATTCTACCACTTCATCACATATAACCTTCCATAAAGAAATTTATCCTGTGTCAGTAATTTTTGATATATTTTAAGACTTAAAAGAATCTTCCCTTTAATGGAATAATTTTTAATTATATTTATGCAAAAATAATAATTTTTTATTAAATTTGAAAACTGTGATCATTATATAATGTCTATTATTATAAAAATATTAATTTACAAAATGATTATAAATATGAAACATATTTAGAAAACAAGTAAATGTTTTGTATTGATAATTCTTGAATTAAATTTAGGTCCTCCGAATTCAAATCGTTGTAGAATTGATATTTTCCATGTGGTTATTGTAAGTTTCATCTACTCTAGTGACATATTTCAGATGCCATCATAATTTATTTAACTCAATTTTTCCATTTTCTCCTAAATTATAAAATATCAATTTCCATTAGCGGCTTGAATCTAATTCTACTCTATTGCAGTTGCCTATTACTCAAATAATTAAAAATAATAGCATTTTAACATTTGTGCAAGTTGAAAAAGAAAAATTTAAAGTTCATTTCTTTGTATTACAAGTAGTATAATCATTAACTGCTTTTATTTCATCTTCAGTTATATTTATCTTGCTTTTCAAATAAGGAATCAAAATCATCCTCCTTCCTAAGGTTTAACGCTTAATACCATAGATCATTTTAACTCAAAGACAAATGTTACCTAATCTACCATTATCAATAATGTTTTGACGTTACATAATCTCTCAAACCTCATTCAAGCACTTAAATAACAAGAACATATTCTAAGTACTTCAAAATAGTTTTTTTCATCTTGGTTTAAAGAACTTTTATTAATTTGCATTCTCTTTGCTTTTTCCAGTTAATAGTTAGAAATTTCATCTATTCTGGGATGAGTCATATATTAATTTTGAGTTGATGTTAGAACTTAATTTTTCCAAGAAAAAATGGTTTATTAAATCAATAATAAAATAGCAAATTGCCAATATTTCTAATACGTATCTACCAATATAAGAATGTTATTACGAATCAAAATAGTTCTTTCATTTCTCAAAAATCAAAACTTTCGCAATATAAATTTTCAACATTTTTGGTTAATAATAATATTAAATTTTTTCTTACATCATGATGTTTATCTTTAAATTCTGCAAGCAATATTTAATATACTTTATAATAACCTATATTTCCCATAAAATATTGTCAGTATTTCCTTAACAATTCACTCTAAAAGGAAAAAGAATATTTGGAAAATTTTGGATTAATAGATTTGAGATTAGGGAAATAAATAGTTAACTTAATCTTTAATAGAAAGGTTTTAATATTTTATAATTGCAAAAATATTCAATTTTATTTTATAATCTTTAACATTTCTTTTTTTTTGGGGGAGTCCTTATTAATTCACTTATTCAGTTTCTTTGTTATTTTAAGTGCTATTCAAGTTTACTTATATTATTACAGTGAAGGAAATTCTAGAAATTTCAATATTTCCAGCCAATTTCATATAAGTAATTAATGATTCTCAAGGGTTGATTACATAAAGATATGAAAATATCTGAATTAAAATAGTTGTTATTTCGATAGTGCTTCCTATATAGATACCTTATTGAGTTATATTCTTGAAATGTATGAAATGTTATGGTTCTGTGGAATAATTATATTCTAGATGATTTAGTTGTTAATAAAAAAAAATTAAACCAGAAATTATTGTAAGAAAAGGAAAGTTCTTTTTATCTTTAAACATATTTTCAAAGAATAACTCATATATTATTTATGTAAAATGACTTTTGTCTATTAATCCATTCATTTTTTCATTATTTTCTTTGCTAGTTCCCTCTTAAAACACAAAAGAGATTCTTCCGTCATTTTTTAATGAAATATCCTAATTTTTTTCCTTGGAATTTCTTGCTTTCTCACAGTCTCAATTTCTAAGTTCAGTTTATCTAAGTCTTTCATCAATTTTATTAATTCAAGAATTACATTCCTATTATAAATTTCTAAATCTTTCTAGAACAAATTTTTGGAAAAATCCCGCAAATTCCTCTAATATTTATTATTTAAAGATAATATTTTATCTGAATGCACGCTGCATTTAATAGGCCTGTTGGATTACCGATTAGCTTGGGGTAGTAACAATAGTTTCGGCTCAATAAATCCATCTAAATCAATCATTATTTAATTTTTATAGGAATTTTAACAATCAATTAGGGAATTAATTATCAAGGGCTCTTTGCAATATCATACATGCAAATATAGAAAATAAAAATCTAGTAAACCAGCAAAAGTTCAATAATTATTCGAGCTTGCTCTGCATTTTCTTATATTACAGCCTTACACTTTACAATTGTATTTTAAACTATAAGACAACCCAATTATTAAATACCTAAATACTATCATACTGGAAATAAATAATAATCCACAATTTATCCTGTAAATTATATAAACCACCATTCAATTTGTAAAATATACGTTAATTCTTAATTAAGATGATAAATGGCATGTATTTAACATTATAGTTTGCACTTAAGGCATTTTTTTGAATTTAAGCATAGCAGTAAGCAGATATTTAATTAAATATAAAATATTATTTATAATTAAATGTTTGAAAAATACTCAAACTTATTAATTATTAATATTAGACAACTAATACCAATTACTTTGAATGAATAACAATTTTATAATGTAATTGATCCTTTTCTGCCAAATCCCCTTATTTAAATTTGTAAATTATTTTAATTCTTTTGAAAAGAACCTTAAAATTAGAAAATAAAATCAAATCAATTATATCAATGTTTCTATGTTAATGTATGATTAATTTTTAGAATTATTCTTATGTATTTTGCCAACTATTTTATTCGTGAAAAAACATAGTTTTACTGATCATAATTATAAATTTGAGAAAAAAATGTCTATAAAAGTTTGTTACACTTTCAAATGAAAAATTGTTCATAGAAAGTAAGAGAATATAACAATATAATGAATTTGGTTAAATGAATAAATTAGGAAAATCAATTTGTATTCTTCAACTTTTCATTTTCTTAATTATTTTCTTAGCCAGGATTTGTTTGAATCTCCAAAGATTTTTTAGACCTTCTTCATCCTTTTGGTAAATTATGGCTTTAAATTTCGATTGTTATGGAAAAGTTTGTTGTTTAGTAATCAAAACTGTCTTTGACAATTCATTTAAGCCTTCAGAAAGTAAATTTTCGATTGAATTTTGTGTATGATTTTAAGTCTCATTTTCTTGTTTCATTTTTAAAGTTGAGTTGGCAGATAGGAAGTGTGAAGGAATAATTTTTTAATAAAAATAATGCACCATAATATATATATTCTTCCTTTATTTATGCAATTTAGAATTAAACTTTGATACTGTTAAAAAGTGTGATGATGTAAAAAATATATCTATTTGGTAAGATGGGTCTTGAAAGGAAAATAAAATGTAGAAACGAGCATTTTCTATTATAAATTTTGGAATCCAATCAGGAAAAAAACAGATTTAATATAATGTTAAGAACTAAATTCAAATTTTGGTTTATAATCATTTAAATGCGAATAAGTAATAGTGAACAAAAATTTTATCAACACAAAAAATAACTCAATCTTTTGTACACAATAGCTTCTTTGTGGTTCAATTCCTAAAAGAATTATTGCCCACATCTTAAAGTATCCTCTGTGCAAGCTTTGTTTTATAACATCTCAATTCTTGGGCATCTGAGAATGATATTAATTAAGTAGCTACTTTTCTCTTGAAAATTTTGCTACTCAAACGATGAGTCATTTTTAGTGTTTTTTCACAGTTTTCTTTCATTAAAAAAAAATAATTTTTTTATTAACTCAGCCCAATTTCAAAATGACTTAAATATAATCTGTCAAATTTTGAATTTAATAAAGGGTGGGTACTTCAAATTTTTGATAATATCAATTATGTTATATATAATAATGAATAATAAAAAAGTATCTATCATATCTACCTAATCAGATGGAATTTAGGCTTTGATATTGCTCTTTAAACATTGATTTCAAACTCAAAAATATAAGCACAAATGTTCTTAAAGCTTTCTATTTTCCCAGAAATTCATAAGAATTCCTGTTATAAAAATTTCATTCTGAATTATTGTGATGAAAAATATCATACCCTCCCATGAATTTAGGTATTAAAATTTACTAATTACAAATCTGAACTTTGATATATATTTATTTGAACTATATTTTATTAGAGGAGGATTTATTAAGACTTAAATTAGTAAGAAATTTGTCTAAAACCTAGATAGGTTATAAATCAATAATATATAACGAGATTATCGATTTTAAAAGGTGTAGTCTGATGTCGAATATAATAATCCTCTTGAAGTACATTTCGTAATCAAATTAATTTGTTAAAATTTTTAATATTGCTAAAGGTCAGCATTCAACTAGTTCATAATTTCTAGGTCAAGAGAGAATATATATATAAAAAACATTTTATCCACTTAAATTAAATATATGATTTGAATCATTTTCATTTTTTCCAAATTTAAAAATATTTAATTGATATTAATTAACAAAGTAAATTATGGTGTATTTAGATTTTAAATATAAACAAAAACATAAAATTAATAATAGAAATTGTTATATGAATATTTTCTCATGTAATTTTTGCTTAAATAATATTAATCATTCAAAAAATATATAAAGAACCAGATATTTTGTATCATTAGATAAAGTCGATAGAGAACATTGTTTAGTAAACAGAAATGAGATAAAAAGGAACTAATTACAAAACATATATAAAATGGTATGTATCACAAGGTCGTTGCTTCTTATGCTTTAACTAATTTAAAAAGTTTTGACACTTCACCTACTTTGGAGAACTCAATACAAAAGGCTTATAACTAAATTAAATGATTTCTTACGTTGGTTAATACATCCTTTAAGGCAAATGCTTTTTATTTGAGCATATGCTGTATAAATATTGACACATATCTAACAAGTTTGTTTTGCTACTGTTTTTCCTTTTTATAATTTTTTTTGAAATACCTTAATATTATTGCAATACTCAATACAGTAATTGATATATTGTGTGATGTATTCCAATGGCAATTTAAGTTCTCCAAAAAGTTATGCAAATAATTCTAGTGAGTTTTAAGTTATATCACTTTGAATGAAAACATCTAGGTATCTAGAGGATAATATAAGATCAAAGTACTCTTCGAACCCATCAAAGTGACAAATGGATATCAATAAAAAGTGTGCAATCTCCTTATTTTTCTCAATAATTGATGGTAACCTTTGGCAAGTGAATCCACAATTCTTAAGCAAGTCTTTTTCATTTTGTAAATAATTGAATAAAATCTAGAATCATCAAAGAGAGCGAGTACTTTTTATTCTTCATCACTTATTTCTGTTGTACAAGTATTTTGTATTATTTCTCTGACTTGACTAACTTTATCATGATTAACTTCTAGAGAATAATTCCACTAAACATTATTTATTGCCATATTATCATCCCACTAAAAGTCAGAGTTAAAGATGATAGGAATGGGTCTCAAATAATCAGTTTGGTAGGATGTTAAATCAAAACACGCCGATGTAATTTTATCCATTCAACTATATGAATTAATTAAAATTATTCATATTGGAATAAATTATTGCTGAACAGTTTGATTAGAAAATATATTAGAATTTGTAAATTTGAATAGTAAAAAAGTATTGATTGGATCTACATAATTAATTCTAACTTTAAGAGTTTAATAATATTTTAGTCTATATGCTTATTAGTATTATTATCTAACTAACTATTTAGTATATCATTAACATTCTTATTGATAAATAATATTATTTTTAATCATAGTTCAATATTCATAATCATCAAAGTCATCATCATAAAATTCCTCAATAAATTGAGAAACTTCGTTATAAATAGCATCGTTTCGCATCTGTAATTTCTCTAGTTTTTTTGGTACATTTTTGATTGAAAATTTCTAATAAATATTCTGCTAGGAATCTGTAGAGATGAATCGTTTCATAGTCTAGTAGAGAGCTAACAATGATAATTGGAAAATTACTTTGAACAGAAACTAAAATAATGTCGTTATCGTAATCGTCAAGACCTAAAATTAAATAATCTAAAATTCCATTATCAATCAAATTTTATAATTATTGATTTGTACAAACGACTAAAAAATTACGAAAAGCTTGAAACAATTCTACTCTTACATCAACAACATCGTTTTCCAATAAATCAAAAACTAGTTCAAGTAATTTTAGATTCGATATTACTTAGTCTAAAAGTAAATGTGATGAAGCCATCAAATTATTAAAGATCATGCTTCCAAATAATCTACTGTAAGTAAAAATAGAATTCTTTAGTAATTTATACACAACATCAGTAATCCCTAGATCCAACAATTTTGCACATTCATGGAAATCTGATGTGTAGGATAAATTGACTAAAATGGTCATTGAAATTTTTGAGATATTTTTCTCTTTGAAATAAACAAAATCTATAATTGTATTTATTGCACTCATAGATAGTATGAATTGAATGTTCTATTTATTACTGCTGGCATTTTCAAATATGTGTAACCCCTTTTCTCTTACTATTTTATTTAATATATATATAAAATTACAATTAGAATCGCAAGTATCAAGTAATCTTGAAGCCAGTGTCAAGATGGTTATTACTTGATCATGATTGTCAATATTTTTAGTAATAGTAGCTAATAATTTTAATGCTGATTCATTAAATGGATTCCTTTAGAGTGATGCCAAAATACCTTAAACTTAATCATATTGGTCAATCTAAGGCTGTTATAGAGTTAAATTTCTATAACAATTGGCTGCTTTAATTGCAATATTTATTTGTTGAGTATTTAAATATCCTGATTCCTATGAATCCAATAAAGACTTAATAACGCTAAGTTGTTCCGACAATTCGAACCTTAAAGATGTATCAGTGACGGTTATTTGATTTATTTCATCCAATATTGCATTGAGTGTTTAATATTCATAATCCTGTAATTCTTGAGATCTCATCATTTTATTGACTATTTCTGTTAATTTTCCGATTGGATTTGATTACTTGGTAGTGTTGACTAAACGTTTCAATCTAAATACTGATTCAAGGTTTTTCTTTCTAAATTCTTAGTGAAAATTCTCTCTCATTTCTTTCAATTTGTTCGAACTCATTTTGGACAATAATATATTATAAAGTTCCTAATATACTTTGTAATAAAAATAAATTAATCGAAATAAACTCAAATTTTGATTTACTATTTTTTAATTCTAAATTTCTTAATATGAAAAAATAAAGATCAAGAAAGAGTTTTTCGTTGAATGATTCCATTGATGAGGATAGAAGAAAGGAAGAGATAATTCAAAAACTATTGGAAAGTAGCACAATTCTATAGCCTAAGAAATTGCCAACAATAAAATTCGATTTGGAAGAAAACGAAATGCCAGTTGTATTATAACAACCAGAAATTGTACAACAAAAGAATTAATTTACTATTGAATATTTGACTCCATCTGTTGTCAAAAATAATTTGGATATGGTTAAAGAAAACCTTCACATTGTTATTGAGGAAAGAATGGAAGATTCAAAATTTCTGAACTGGTCCTCTTTGATCATAGCATTCATCAAGGTAATCGCGTTTTTCAATGTCCTCTTCCAATAAACATGTTCAGGCTCTTTTAGTGCATGGTTTTATATGATGTTTGCACATGATGTAAATTCAATTTCTTTTATGAGATCATAGAAATAGGAATGACTATTAAAGTTGTTAACGTAGTATCAGCTAAATATGAAAGCAGACTTTCAAAGAAGAGACCTACTCTAATAAAAAGAGAGTCGAAATATCCAATGGCTGGAAGACACTCTTACTATGGGTAATTAATAAAAGAAATTGAAAAATGGGAAAATACAGTGGCAATTCAAAATGATCCCTAACCTACTAGGGTTATTTAATATGTTAAATTGCATCAATACAATGAATTGTATAATATTCTACAATTATTTAGTTTCTACCTATTCCTCATTCTTTGGGGCCTGTTACTATTGGGAACTCAATGCTAATCCGATATTGTATTGAACACCTTCCAAGGATTCATCCTATTAGGAATAATAACCTTGTCTCTAAAGCTCCTCTATTACCTTTCCTTCAAATTTTGTATTAGTGCTGTTGTGATGAACTACTTGATTTTTGCTGATAAAAATTTATCAAATAATGTAATGATCAATAAACTAATCAAGGAAGTAATAGCAAACATTCCAATGCAAATGAAGAAGAATTACGACTTTGAGATTTGTTACCTTTGTTCATAATAGATCAAACAAATGACCTCTTTTATCGATTTACCCTGCAATAAAATGTACATACTCATTCATCTTCATTAGGCATCGTTTTCATGAAAATTGTATTTCAAAATGGTTGTAAACTCATCTTTTTTGTCCTGTTTGTGTTGAACCAATTGAATTGATGAATGTTTAGATGAGAGTACTGGCTTGATTTATCACTTATATTCAAAACGTAATTTACTAATAATGAATTAATTGATATATAAATTTATTGTTATTTCATAAATTACTTCAAGAAATAGGTCCCATCAATTGATACATAACCTCCTCTAATTATTAGAGCAAATTCTATATTGTCTAATCAGTAAAATTATCTAGATGTTATAATATATATGTTACTTTGATTCTACATCATTACCATCAAGTCTTCTTCTTCAAGTTGAAATTCCTCATAGCAGTAATCACCTAGGATTGTATTAATTGCCATTGGGATTAGTTATTGAGTTTCTTAATTAGCCTAATTAATTATTTAAAAGGGATTTTACAGATAGAGTTTGTATCATTTAAACCAATACTTTTGGCTTTTTGGTCAGAATTTGTATCTAGTAGCTAATTACTTTTTTTAAGTCATCAACTGATAAGGTTATTTTGCTTGGTATGGATTCTTTGATTTGTTGTCTTAGTGTTGCTTGAATCATAAAGAATTGTTGAATTTATCCACCCTCCATTAATGACATCACACTTTCCTAGAGCACCTCCTCTGATATCTATAGATATTAACAAAGTTCAATTTATTTCTTTTCGATTAAATTTTCGACCTGTTCATTGTAATCAAGCACCATTTATTGATACAATTAATTGTTGGATTTTGCCTTTGCTTCTCTTCTCTCTAAATTGATATAATCTAAAATTACATTTTCTATTGTCAAGTGTAATCTATCGATATTCAGGTTTGGTTAGATCCAAAGCCCTTTGAAATATTTAGATTATTGTATTCATAGTTAACAAGTTTCCTTGGAACTCAATCTTGACTTATCTCGCAGCCTTTTGTAATAGTGATTCTTCGTCTTGAACAGAATCCTTCTGTAAATTGGATATTTGAACTTAGGTATCTGCATCACTATTTTCTTGTTGAGTCTAAGGTTTGGGTTTCTTATTGAATCTTAAATTCAGAATTATCTTACTTGTCATAATAATATAATCCTCCAATTAATAAACCTGTTCCAACACAAAATAAAATCAACCCAGATTTCTATTTTTTGGATAATGTAGAACCCATTATTAAAAATATTAAAACTTATTAATTTTATTGATTAAATGTAAACTCTTTAATTTTGAACACAAACAAAATATACTCAATAATTTAAGTAACTCTTTCTAGAAAACATCTCAATATATTAGTGATGCGAACTATATTATAAATATTAGGTGATCTTAAACCTAAATAATAATGCTATGAACATTTATTTAATTATATATAAATGAATATTGCTTAGCTTGTTTTACTCAAAATATAAAGGTTCAATCAAATTTATCATATATCCCCTTAATAATGCATGAACGTCATTTTTAAAAATTGGGAAGCTCGCTTAGTTCAACCACCAGATGCTCAGGTTCCTGTGGAATCTGTGGAATCGGTAGAAGAGGCTCTCTCCATTTTAAATCAAAATAATTAGGTTCTCTTGATGACACAAGATGAAATCTTGCATTTGGTAACCATGGGATTGACAGATTATAATCACATTGATTGCTCGAAGGTTTAAGAATGGTTTAATAAAAATTATGATAAATATCTACTTTAATATTATTCGGATTAAATGAATGCTGCAATGAAATAGTAAATGGTAAACGGAGAAATACAAATACAGGAAGTAATAATAGATGAAGATAAACCAAAGGTGGTCAAATTTGAAAACGAATATTATAACAGAGAAGGATTGGAATTTGCAAAATCCCTTAAATGAATAATATAAATAATTATTATATATATTAATGCACACAAATTATGCATATGAGAGTAAATTCTAAAAATTTTATCTTATACGAATAATCTAATTATTTGAGGATAAAACTCTTAGATTGCCATTCAAGGAAATGAAACTCTATTCAAACAACTAAACACCAAGAAAATAAATCCAAATTTAATAATAAACTCAATAAGTATACGACGGAGAAACCTATATTTCAACAAAAGAATGTTCAGAAATACTCTAATAATTACCAAAATTATAGACTAAAATTAATTTGTCTGAGCATTTAAAAAAGAAAATAGGATCAAGTTAAAAGTGTTCATTTACTTCAGTAAAGGAGACGATATCTCTAATAAAACAAAAAAATGAAAAAAAAATGCAGGAGATCCAAACTGAAAGAGTGATTAGTAACTTTTTAAAAATAAGAACAATGGGTAGTATAGGGTAAAATTAAATTAACACTCAATCTTTGGGAAGACAAGAAAATATTAATCATCAGTTTAATATTAAATTTATCTTGGTTTTAATTATCATTTTATTCTATTATCTATCAGATGATTGTAATCTCACATGAGAACTAGGATAAAATGTTATTTTTATATCAAATTATAATAATCAATACATTAAATCTTTCAAACTAAGTTACACTTACATTGTTTATTTGGATACTGATTTTGGATTTTCTTTATCTGTAAAATCTAGAATAATATAACTTGGGGCAGGATTTTGACAAATAAATTTCTTTTTATTTGATGAAACATTCGTTTCCAATATGATGTATTTTAGATTTTAGGAATCCTAATGGTTTTGCTTTTTCTAAGGAGTTTTGGACTTTGATTTACTTTGTGCTTTTTGATGTACGGGTGTTTATTCTTTCTAAGGTTTAGCATAATTAATTTAACGACTTTTTTAAGGAGAAATTTATTCTTAATTTAAATACAAAAAGTTAAATCTCTGTTTTGGTTCATCTTAAATCTGATAAAATTGTGATGATTCCTATTTGAACAATTATTAAGGTTAATTGTCATTAAAATATGTTTCAGAAACTTTGCTACTGTTCTTTTTATATGAATATTCTATATTATATTATTGATCTTGTTCCAGTTATTTCGGTTGAAAACTCAGCTTCTCTTACTTGAATGAACAATCCAAAGGAGGAAACTCGTGATCAAACTATGACTGGTATTGTTATTTTTCAGGGGAAGTAATCTCAAAATTAGGTAGATCATTAATGTCAATTTGATTGGAAGAATTGTTGTCTATTGAATTTTTTTGATACCATGTCTCTCTTACAGGCTGAGAGTATTATTTGAAATGATTTTAAATTGATTATTCTGAATTGGTTAATGAAGGCAATTTATAATTATCATGATTATTCATTTTTTTTAATACTCTTAAATTATTCACAGTTTAAAGTTGAAAAAATGAGTGGATCAAGATGCAAATAGTTTTACAGCGGATTTTGATTGGCATTTACTTTGACCTCCTTCAGTGATGAAACAGCCTAAGTGATAAATGAATCATTACTTTTGCCAATTCCCCTAAATTGGTAATCTCATTAGAATACAAATCCAATCTTAATTCTTCCAACTGTCTCTGCTTGCTTAACAATTTAATAATTCCGAACTCAAGACCGACATCATTGATACTGCATCTCCCACAACCCAAATGCAAGATTTTCAACTATTAAGAGAAGAGATTTCTGCACAATTGAATCAATCCTATAAAATACCCTTAAATACATAAAGTACCTGTACTCCAAATGCTATTTCGATACTAACTAAAACCATTAAAGTTCAGGCACAAGCGTTGCAACTTCAAATTATCAATAGTTTAACCTTAGTAATTAGTAAATAGTGTTACCGATGTAATAAATGCAGTTTTCATCTAAGCAATTTAATGATAGATCTAATGAAAAGTCTACGATGGTATCTGGAATGACTAATTAATCAAATTTAGTTAATTTGTTGCCTTTCAAATCAAGGGTCAACTTCTAAAGGTTGGGAATCATGATTTGTCTCGTGATTCCTACATTGCATTTGTCAAATCGTATAAACAATTCCTTCAACTATTAATATTTACTAAAACCAATTAAGTCAATTGGTTTATCTAATATCAATTCAACCTTCTCTATGGAATCTGTTAATGTGGTCAGTTGTGGATAGCAGTTATTCAGCACTAGAGTTTTAGAAATATTGAAATCATCTATGTCTATACTTTAAGCTTCTTCTGGTGAGAATATGGTTATTTTGAAATTGGGGTACTCTAATTATTTAGACAATTTAATCTTGTCTTCGAATTGATCTAAGATTTCATGGAAGTCTTCTTGAATCTGTGGTATATTGATGAAGGGAGGTTAGGTGGCAGTTGAACACAATTATCCATACAAGTAATCAATTTACTTCTGCTTTGGGTTTTTAGATTTTTGATTTGTTAAGTAGTATCTTAATTAATCTTCGATTTGATCATCCAATAAAAATGTTTAATTTTGTCCACATTTCTAGTAATGTATTATTTGATTTTTAATGTATTGAAGTATTTATTTTTACTCTTCAAATTGAAATTTTAATTTTTATATGAATGAATTAATCCTCGTTTTAAATGTCTCATATAAAAATGTTCTTAATTTCTCTATTGAATCTTCGAATTACTTTTTATTGAAACCAAAATCAAGGATGTCTTAAGACAAATACTATCCCAAAATTGGTTAGGCTTATAATAAGAATTCTTCCAGCAACTTGGCTGTGTAATTTTTAGATAGAATGCATCTCTAACACAAGAGAACTGGTTCCTTAGCTTGAGGTTTCACATTTATATAGATAGCCACTTAATTATGTTGTCTGCACTTAAACACACTATTCATTTTTTTAAATTTATCTAAAATTAATAATACTATTTAAATAATGATATAATTAAGTATTTATTATAAATTTTATTCTAAATTTACTTCAACCATTCCAAGAAGCCGCCTTTTCACAATTATCAAAAATTTCTTAGGCTCTACTAAAGTAAACAGCAGATCTAAATTTTTAAGAAACTACTTTTTTGTCCATACTTTCTGAAGCACTCCAAAAATATGAGTTAATATTTGTATTAGACGTATTTGAAATGGAATAGGAATAATTAGTTTGCAAAAATTTTAGTAGGAAAATAAAATAATAATGAAGAATAAAATAACTAATTATATTTCTCTTTTATTTGTTAATCTAACATTTTTTTTATATGTAAATCTCCAATCGCTCAATAGAAGATTACAAAAACCATAACTACACTAACAAATTACTATTAAAAGCTTCAAATATTCATATGAAACCAAATGAAACAATATCACCGATAAGAAAAAAAAGTATGATGGATTCCAATATACCATCCATTTATAACGAAACTGATAGAATGACTGATAGAATTAGGCTATAAATGAGGGAAAAGAATAAATCTTGTTGTAATATGCCTGATGAAGACATTTCAGATTCACCTTTTTAGAAATACTCCTAATTTGTAATAATGAACCAGAATGTTAAATAACTTATGATTGGTATTGAAAAGAAGCTAAAGAACTTCAAGTTTGCAAAAGAGAACGATCACAATTCATGTGCGTCGATCATTGCCAAAATGAAGTGTTTTTGCTTGGACAACTGTTGTTTCGATTTTTATCGTTGTACAGACCTTATCCTCTTAAAATATCTGATTTACTTACTAATTCAAGAATTAAACTCTAATAAGATAAGCGATAGCACAAGTTGTTTGTCGGATTAGCCACCTCCTTAAATCAAGAATTTAATCAAAGATGCAATCGCCATAATGCATGAGACAGTTGAGGAGTTAAAGAATAAGTAATTGATTGACAAAAATAACAATAAGTCTATTGATTAATTGAATAAATAGATTAAAAAGATGTAGTAAGTGATGGGAGGGTCAAATTAAAGTTACGACGTATTTACGACTCCACAATCGAATATTAAAAAGATTGACCTCCTATTAAAACAACAGAGTGCAACTCAGAAGAGAGAAATCAACTAAACTTCGCCATCATTAAATTCTGAAAAGATTATTTAATTTCAGATTGATGAATTGTCGATGAAAAATGATCAGATTTAAAAACTTAATGGTAAAATCAAGGATCAGGAACAACAAATAAAGATTCTCACTCAATAAATAGCTGAGGTCAATTTGAGTTTACAAATATCCTAAAAGTCCCTCTAGAATAAAGAATCAGAGGTATCCATTTTTATCTAAAAATACTAGATGAAAGATCTGATAAAGAAAACAGACAAATTATTGGAAACGACCAGTCAAGCTCTAAAGGATAAGGAGGCATACCAGAATACTTATAAATCAATCAAGTAGGATCATGATCAGTTAAAAACTTTGTTCGATGATTTGTATTACATATTCTTATTCTTAATTTTAGATAGAAAAGTAACCAAAGTATAATACAGGAGTATCATGTATTGAGATAATCACAAAATGACTCGTAAGATTCTGACATGCAGAGATATAAATAAGATGACGAAAGGTTTAAATAGGATCGCGAATTGTTGGATAAGAACAATGTAATTGTATGAAATATCTATCTATACTTATAATAGAAATAATTAAAAGCAGATGGATTATCGTTGGGCTAATAATTGAAAGATATTTCCAATAAAATAATGTAGATTTCACCGGATATACTACCGAAATCTCTATAATAATTGTAAAGGGATTTGTATTTGCAAGAAAGTAAGATTAATGAAAAACTCAATAATATTCAATATGTGTAACTAGAACAAAATAATAAGCCAAACTCACTGTAAAAGTTGTAGTAGAAATAAATTGTGAATTAGAATCAGAATTAATTTTTGAATCAATACTAAAATTAGAATCAGCAGTTTGAACACCAACTAAAATCTATCAAAAGTCATTCCGACATTATGACAATGATCTTAATTTAATGTGAAGTGATTGAGAAGTTTATTAATTGAATCATTAATGTTATTATTATAATTCATAAATTTATACATAAGCCTCACTTACACTAATAAGTTAAGGAACAATATTTTGTTTATGCAAATCTTGAATTTAAAACCATTGATTGTTGGCCTCATTCTTAACATGAATTTTATAGATTCCAACTTTGGCTGTTCCCTCATGACAAATGTTGGCTATTAAATTATACTTGACATTTTATTATTCCAAGTTTAAACCTAATGATGATATGATATTTATACATTAACTCAGATCCAAATCATTTAATGGGAAGGTCACAATGGTTGGGTTCTTTTCCATAAAGAAATTATTTTTGATGAATCTCTTCATATGTATAATCAAGTATCTAAAATAATGCAAAGGAAGAGAATACTTGGGAAACTTGGTTATAGTGTATCTTCTTCTGCCATCAGCACTGTCTGTATTAGTGAATCCATCGTACTTTTTAATTAATTCTTGAATCGATATGCTGGGAATTAGAGCCTTTTAACTGCCGTCTTTTTAGAGTGGAGTCGAAGGGAGATCTAAAGACAAATAACTAAGGAATAGATGCATTATATATACAAGAACGATTTTTATTCGATGATTGGAATTGGTTGATATCCAATGGCATTTTTAAGTGGTTTGTACCATTCGTATTGCAATTCTCCTTGGAAACAATCAGAAATAATAGTATTGGTTTTATTGATGTGCAATAATTCCTTTTTCAGGTTGTCCAAAAACCAGATGATCAAATGCATGGGATCTGATTGTTATCCGATTTTGAATTGTTTATTGCTTTTAAGAGTGACAGCTTGGAGCAATTCATGAGGACTTACGTGTCCTTTGTAATTACGAGGATTCCAAATTTTTCTCGTTAATTCTGAGAATCTTTGGGATAGAAGACAATTATAATCGAAAGGTTCTGTGGCACTCTTTTGGAATTGCAAGAAGATCATAAAATTTCTCAATGGTTTGATACGACACAAGGCCTGCATAACAACATTGAAATAGTCTGATTTGCTTAGATTGTTCAATCCCACAAATCCTGGGAGGAATGTAGTCCCATCCAAGGCTCTGGATTCTTCGACATTATCATCCAATTCCTTAAGATTATTAAATTTAGGATCTAGATTATATTGGATATCTTCAAGTGAATGATCGACCACTTCGTAGTTATCTGGCAAACAGTATATTTTAGTATTTTGAAGATTCATAAATAAGTGATGGTCTTGTTCAAGTGAATGAATGTAGGCTTGGGTATTAATGGATTTCCCTTAGTAATATTTGCCGCAGATGAGACACACATACACATTCAGATTTGAAAGAGTAACGGAGCATAATTTTTCGAAATCAAAATCGAGCATGTGTCGACATATGGTGGCGATGTATGGACATTATTGGTTGTATTTAACCTTTTTCTTGATTTCGTCTATCATTTAATAATTTAATTAATTAATTCATGAGTTCTGAAGAAGAGACCCAATAATCGTTGCCATACAAGGTGCACAAATCAACTTTGAAATGGGCACCAGTGTTCAATATGACAATTCTATTGTCAATAGCAATAATCTCATGCTTGATACGAGTGTTCTCAGTGATCAGATATGAGTCCATCATTCATGAGTTCGATCCGTGGTTCAATTACAGAACAACCCAATATTTGGTGAAGGAGGGACCTTATGCATTATGGAATTGGTACGATTCCGAATCTTGGTATCCCCTTGGTAGAAGCGTTGGAGGCACAGTGTATGATATCCATCCTAATTATTAAGATATCCAGGATTAATGATGACATCCGGTATGATATATTGGGTGTTACACAAATTGTCCATTCCAATCGACATCAGAAATGTCTGCGTCTTCTTGGCACCCATCTTCTCAGCATTTACAAGTCTAGCAGCATATGGAATGACAAAAGAGATAACCAAGAGGTCAGAGGCAGGATTGTTGTCAGCCCTATTTGTGGCCATAGTCCCATCCTACATGAGTAGAAGCGTGGCTGGATCATACGACAATGAAGGAGTATCTATTTTTGCCCTCGTCTTCACATTTTACACCTTCCTCAAGACTGTCAACACAGGATCCATCCTTTGGGGTGTCTACACAGCCTTAGCGTAAAATATATATATATACAAACATAGCTTTTTCTATATGGTGGCCTCTTGGGGTGGATATGCATTCATCATCAACATCATACCTATTTTTGTGTTGTTTTTGTTGATAACAGGACGTTCGAATTCTAGAATCCAAGTGGCATACAACGTTTTCTACATCTTGGGAACACTGTTGGCAATGTAGATTCCCTTTGTTGGATTCTAAGCATTGCATTCATCTGAACACATGGCATCACATGCAGTTTTCATATTGATTAACTTCCTTAACTTTTTCAGTTGGATACGAAACTTTGTCAGCAAAAAAGCCATCATAACACTAACGAAATTCTTAATAGTCTTTTTAGTGTTCTCCATTTTGGTTGGAGTGGTCATCCTAACTCTGGCTGGTAAGACACAATGGAGTGGCAGAAGTTTGACTCTACTTGATCCAACCTATGCAAAGAAATACATCCCTATCATAGCATCTGTCTCAGAACATCAAGCTACCACCTGGTCATCCTTCTTCTTCGATTTGCATTATTTGATCCTCTTCTCCCCAGTAGGATTATATTATTGCTATAACAAACCAACTGAAACCAAGATATTCGGTGCCCTGTATACAGTCCTTGGAGTCTACTTTGCTTCAGTTATGGTCAGATTGCTCTTGGTTCTTGCACCTGCCGTCAGTATTATGGCTGGAATTGGCATTAGTTGGGCATTCAGAAAATTTGCTAAGTCTGTCCGATCATTCATCTTGCCCAAAATAGAAAAACCTAAGAAGTACAGAATCCCTCCTGAAATATCAATTATCGGCTTAGTAATATTAGGATACTATTGTTCCATTTATGTTCTTCATGCCAATTTCGCTGGATCAGAAGCCTATGCCTCTCCCTCCATCATTCTATCCAGCAGAGATAGACAAGGAAATAGAAATATCATCGATGATTACAGAGAAGCCTACTATTGGCTCAGAATGAACACAAGGCCTGATGACAAGATTATGTCTTGGTGGGATTATGGCTATTAAATTACAGGAATGTCTAATCGGACGGTCTTGGTTGATAATAACACTTGGAATAACACACACATTGCTACTGTTGGTATGGCAATGGCTTCGTCAGAAGAAGATGCCTTTGAAATCTGTGAAAAATTGGATGTTGATTATGTGTTGGTGATCTTTGGTGGTATCTTGAATTATTCAGGTGATGACATTAACAAATTCTTGTGGATGGTTAGAATCGGTGGCGGAGTCTATCCACACATCAAGGAAGAAGACTATTATGGCAAAGGAACTTATAGAGTAGATCAATATGCAACTGAGACTATGACCAATTCACTCATGTACAGACTCAGTTATTATCGTTTTGATGAAGTTCAAACTGCTTATGGACAACCCAAAGGTTACGACACTGTTAGATAGGCTGTCATTGGAGTCAAGGGATATAAGTTGAGACATTTTGAAGAAGCCTTTACTTCAGAAAATTGGATCGTACGTATATTCAAAAGAAAGCAAAGAGAAAATAGGTACTATATTATTCCAACTATTTTAATAGAGATGGAGTTGCATTCACTTCAAAATCGACCTCATAATTTACCATTCCTAAGGAATTCAGCCCAGTTACAAAGTTTTCTAAAAAAGCCAACACCAAATAGAGATCTACCCTAAATTTTTAAAATAATGAGTGATTTTATGTATATTCATAAATATTAGATCAATAATTCCTCATACTTTGTATGGATCAACTGATTCAGTTGGATTTACTCATACTCCATCTGTAAACTTTATTTCAGTCTTCCAAAGAACTCTTTCAATTACTCCTTCTCACTCTTCTTTAAAAACTTTTTTATTTATTGCATAAAATCCTTGATCTTTACCAATTCATCCAAAAATCCAACAATAAAACTGAGTTCCTTACCGTCCTTTAAAGTTGAAATTGAATAATCAAAAACTTCCAAAATTTTAAAAAAATATTCAACGTGAAAATCAATTGAAAATATTTTCTTGATGTTGTCTTCGCTCTACATCTATAAAATACTAATTTTTAGATTAAAAACTGTACTTCATTAATTCAGCATAATTTTCCTATGTTAATGGTTTTATGTAATGTTTAGAGAATAAGGTTCTAAAATCCCGAAAGTTTCTGCATTAAATCTCTTTGATATTTAATTATAACTGATTGATGTCCTCTTGAGTAGGTTGTTGATATTTCTGATAAGAAGAATTGAATATTTTGTCATTATTGGTTTCATTGAATCCAAAGTTGGCCAGTTCTTTCGATTTGATTGTGTAGAGATTTGCTCCCAATACCATTTATCTGAACCCTTCGTAATCATGGTGATAGAGGACTGCCTTCTTTTTTGCTGAATCCACATTGATCCTTTGATGCTCAATGTTGATTTCATTTTAGAATTCTTCTCTGATATTCTAACAACTTAATTGCATATCCTTCTCAGTCAACTTCTTTTCTGAAATTCCTCCGTACATTAAATTATTAATATTACTTACAAATAATCAATCATTATAATAATATGAGTCAATTAGGCCAAGAAGGCTGGAGTGGACAAAAGTGTTTGAAATCAGAGGGCGATTCAATTGAACAACCATTGCCTGAATCGGATAGAGAGGAGCAGATGATCGGAGCTTTGTCCACTGAGGAGAGCAAGATCTTTAAGAAACTGAGATTCAACTAGAAAATATAAATTTTAGATGAAAAGAATAAAAAGCCGTAGAAACTATTTTGTTATTCAATTCTCAAAAAAAGATAATAATTTTGATAGTTTGGATGAATCAGAAGAATTCTAAATACATCTTTTTTTAAAGTTAGTTTTATCTCGACTTTCCAAACAATTGTTCAAGATTTGCCGTGGCATTGACAAATATGCTTCTTGGCGTTATTTTTGATAGCTTCTTCAACTCCAACATGTTGGCATTTTGATTTGCAATATTGAACACCATCAAATCTACCTAATTCTTTTCAAGTAGTTGTTTTAGTTTCTCCTCTTACTTCTAACACATGTGTTTATTAACTAAAGTTAAATGAGAAAAGTACTTTCGGTGAAAATGCATATAAATTTGTATCTACTTCTGAAATCGTATTGCTATTGGTCATTATTATCCTCACTCTTCCCATTCAGATTGACATTATTGCCATTTTTGAAAAATTGAATGTCATCATTATCAGATTCAGTGTCTTATTCTCCTTCAGTTTGGGATTCATTGAGTCTAAAAATGAAGAAATTTATTACTTTTATTTGGGATCGTCATTATTAGACAAAGGTGGGAATTGGGATTAGGACAAGTCTTGTTCATTCTCTTCATGAATAGTAAAGTTGTTGCACTCCTTCTTCAAATTGCTCTTTTGATCATCAGATTTACTGTTGGTTTTGTTGGCATTTGAAATATTGATTTTATGTTCAAAGAAGTTTTTCACAGCAAATCTTAAGGCTTGATACAATCTGGAGTTGCCTCCAGGAGCAGTGATGGCCATATATAATTACTTATTTAGAAGATCCTTATAAGTCCCTTTGGGTTGAAGAGGAAAGGCTTCATGAAGAGAGTTATTGAAACCGTACATTCCAATTAAATCTTAAGGTTACAAAATGGAAAAGATCTTGGTGCAGATACTATGAGAAAGGTTGATTTATTCGATGTTCATTTCTTTGGAGTAGTCTATCATGAAAACAATCTCATAAACATTAATGGAGATCTAATTCCTGAACTGTTGAATAGGCTAAGGAGAGATGTTAAATAGTTTGAATATCTTCTCCAAGACCATCAAACAGAAATCCCTAACTTCTGGATCATAATAATCACCCATTTCTATGATTTCAGTTAAGATTTCAGCAGCAGTTTTGAAGTTTCCTCTCAACAACTGATAAATAGCTTTAAGTTATCTAATCTTAGAAAACAACACTTCCTTTGGTACATTTTTGAACATGTCAACAAAGTTAAAGTCTTACTCCTCATTTTATTAGGCCTATTCAAGATTTGCATTATCTTGGATCAACTTATTGTAATATTCTTCAGCTTTCTGTTCTGAAAGTTAAAAGTTGCTGATATCTCCAATTTGGATGTAACACAAGGCCTTTTTGACATGCAAATTGATAAGTCTAACAATTTTGGATTAGGTGAATCTTTGATCTTTTTCTGCAGTGGCCTCAAAGTCAGTAAACAATTTCAGAGTTTCAGGAATAAACACATCAGAATATTGCATACAGATGTTGAACATGAATTAGGCAAGTTAAAATTATCTATTCAATAATTTAGCCTTAGCCAATTTCTTCTTTTTTGTCAACTCCGATAATTTCTCTTTGATCATTTGAAGTTCTGACATCTAGACATCACTGGATCCAGAATTGTTTCTTTCTCTTTCTTCCACTTGATTATTATTCTATTTATCTTCATAATTGATAATGCTTTCTTTCATGTCCAATCTTTGACTCTGCATTATACTACTCTGATTGTAGGATTAACCCAAATATTTGGATCTGTTATTGCTCACATTTGGGGAAAGTTGAGGAGAATAGTAATTAGAATTTTCTTGATCCACCTAATTGATTGGTTGTAATCCCTTTTTTGATTCATTCAAGCTCTTCTCGTAAGTTAAGGTCCTTTTCTTCTTATTGATAGGAGTTGTTACTGAATTAACTGCCACACTTGCTAATTGAGTATTCTTACTGGAACAACTAGATTAAGGATTTATTAAAGCCATGTGTGGAATGTTTTTCGAATGTATGACTGTAGTTGAGATATTTTTAGAAGTATTCGAAATGTTTTTCTGTCTCTAAGATGAAGATATAGCTTTCATCTAAGTGTTATTTTCATTTTTCTATTCATCCTGTTGTTTCTTTTATAACTTCTTAATCCATGTTATTTCAATCTATTATCTGAACTTAGTTGCCAGTCCTTTGAGTCTCAACCTTAAATTTTGATATAGATTTGGTTCCTGTAATGCAGCCATCATAGTAGTGCACCATTTCTTAAGTTCTTTGATTTCCATTAATTCTAATTTTGCAATGTAAATGGCTTCTTCCATTTCGTTGACTGCTTCAAACACTCTTCCTCCCTTCATGTGCAGAATTCCAATATTATTTGCACAAATACCCACTGCACTCATGTTACCAATTTCTTTCTTATAAAAGTCTTTGGCTCTACTCAATTCCATTAGGGCTATTGCATCAGAATGTTTTGAGTTAGAATACTTCTAATTCGAGTATTTTATTGTTGTCACAAATATGTTCATTGTTTGGAATAGTGATTTAATTTCAAATGAATTGAAATAGTCTTAATAATTTATCAATTCCTCTTCTTGATCCATATTCTAGATGTCTATACTGTTCATGAATTCAGTCAACACTTTAATTGGCTATTCAAACGATAATCCTATTCTAGTGGCAGTGTACCAAACAAATAAAAATATTACAACTGACAAAACAATAATAACAATGAGAACAATGATTTCTAAAATTCTTACATTATTCAAAGATGTGCCTTCATACAATTCTTGTATCAATACATTCTCCTCAAAGTAATGGATAAGTATAAATGTTGGCATCTTGAAGTCATTAACTTCAGGTTCAATATAGACATACCTCCTTCCATTTTCAGGAGCAGTAACAATAGACACTCTTTTGGATGAAGTGGTTATTACTTCCGAAAAAAGCAAATAGAATTTGTATGACCCAAAAGAATAGATTAATTGAGTGCTATTAAGAGTTTCATTGGTTCTGAGTTCTTTGATTTTATCATAAATTGGAGCATCCATCTTAGAGATCAATTCTTAATATGATGAGTTACTTAGTTGTTTTGTCTCATTGATATATTACACAATGGCTTGAGTGACATTCCGATCAGAATAATTTTTGGGAGAAAGTACTGTATATTCTTTATTAATTATAGCGACGAATAGTTAATGTTCCTACTCCCCTTGAGATTAGTGCTATTGTAGATGTCTGGTTGTCAAATCTTCCAAATAAGAGTTTAACACTTTGGCAGTCATGTAACATTTTGTTGTATCTGTTTGATGAACTATTTATGTCAAACTTATTGAAGGTCCACTTGTAAATTCATCTGTTCTATCATAATTCATGGTGAAGTTTAAGGTGGGATCGAGTGTCATGGGGATCTCTGGTAACCATTGAGAAGCATCGAAGCCAGTAAGTTTTTTTTATTGAGCTTCAGTAAACTGAGGAAAGCGGATAACGAAAGAATCAGTGCAATGTATCATAGTTGCGGCATAGTTTATTGGAACAAGTGCTTCAGCATCCGTCGAAGTATCACTTGTTGTGTTTAAATTCAGGTCTTGTTTAAGGGATCGGGTGTTACTAAGTCATGAAATGATCTCATTACTTAATTATGATGTCAGACAATATGAGAGATTAGGCTGCCTTGGTTAGTTGAAAATACAATTAAGGACTCTAGTTTTGCAATTCAGTCAAGGTTTGATATTTGGAGTGGGACCATGCTATCTTATAGTCTTGGGAATCCTTGGTTGTCGAGGTGAATGCGTTGAGACTCAGCTATTTATCGTCCAAAGTCCTAAAAGAATTGTATTTATCATGTTTACCAGCTTGAGTAATTTTGGAACTCTCCAAAACAATAATGTCTCAAATGGGCACTCACTCCGAATATCTGATTAAAGTAAGCTTAGTATTAGATATAGATTTCCTAATAAATTTTGATGCTCTTTTACTTGCTCTATGATATTCATCTCTATTTAAAGACCATTCAAGTGTCTGTTTATATGAAAGTCTAGCAGTGAATCTTGAAAACTAGGTATACTCACAAAACCCAACAAACCTACTTATAACACTGCTAACATCAGAATAAGAATGATTGGAATTAGAATAACCAACAGAATCTAGTTCTTTAGTTCCATTAAAAAATAAATATTCAAAATCTTTATATTATTTTCTAATTAAAATGCCTCCAGGGAAGCATAAATCAAAACTAAAAACAGCCAATGCTCCTAACGTTATCAAGCCTCGTCCCATACCCATCTTCCTATCGAGGTACCTCTATCCCTTACCCTACTCTCTAGATAAGGATCTCGTGTTGAAGGCCAAGCCAACATTCCCAATCAGAAAAACAATCCGTAACTATCAAGGTACCTTTTATTCCTGTTCACTTAAGGCAACAATCATAATCACAAATGTAGGAACATTCCGACCACATAGATATTCAATTCAACACCAGGAAATTCAATGTTACACTCATGGTCTAATAGGAAAACAAAAATTATACCCTAGGTGATATCAATTGCAAACTCACAAACGATAATCGAGTATGGATTTACGATCTCATCAAAACACTTAAGGATATGCAAATTGATGCAGTAGATCATCTCAAAAATAGCACCATTTAAATCTTAAATGAGGAAGAGACACAAAACCTAGGTATATTCTATAAATTATAAGTTAATCACACCCTCTATACCCCAAACTTGCCTGTATACGAAAACCTTGGTGTCGACCCTCTGAATCAGGATACTTTTTTCAAAGTCAACGAAGATCAAATCAAATTGCAATTAAAAATCAGACCTTCCAAAATCAGCTTATTAGATACAATTCTAGAGTAATAGCCAAATGAAGAAACCAATTCAAAGAAAAATTAAAAAACTAAGCAGAGGACTCTCTCGCAAGTCGTTGAAAGAGTAAACAATCTTTCTTAAATCTAGGTGGCACTCTGGAGAAGACTTTATACCGGCTTTTATGATTAGAACAAAACATTTGTTTAGATGTCTTTAGACAAGGCTGCTGAAAAAGTTGGAATTTCCAAGAAGACATTAGATGACTATCTATTGTAGATTCGATATGGAAAGCGTTATGGTTTCGACTTCAAAAAAAACAGCAATGAAGGCATAAGCAAATTGAGACAATTTGTCAAATCGAAAAAAGAAAATAAGAAAAATGATACATGAAAAACATATTAAGCAAATAAATCCACTTAATAACTATTATAATTATTAATTTTTTCACTAAAATATTTATAATATTTTTTTTTTTTACATTTTAAATATTTTTCATCATAATTTCTCTTTTAATGTATAATGTACATCCTTTTCCATATTGAATAAATGTTATACGAAAATGGACATCTCAACTCCAAAATTACATTGTTAAAATATGAAAGTTTGGACTCTTAAAAACTTTTTAATAAACTGAACTTTATCTTCCATATTTCAATAAATACAATGTCTGTCACGATTTATTTGAGTATTTCATTTGTAATTTCTCAAAAAAATGCAGATATATTAATCCTAAGGAGGATTTTTAATTATGCCCTTGAGTACTTTTTTAAATTTAAGTCTATGTTTTTATTCTTATAAAGTTGATAAATATAATCATAAATTTTATAATAATATGCCCATGATTCAAATTTGTTTGACATAAACAGATTCAAGAAATTTTATTAGAAATTAAATTAGTATTTGTTCAATACCATTGATGTACCTTTTTCAATAAATACAATATTCATGATGCCATTCATCTAATTGAAATCACCTTAATTGCTGGAAATGGAAATCAAATTTACTTTTTTCATTTAAACAGAATAAAGAATCGATAAAAATTTTTTAATTATCCAAATATTTGAAAATCAAGCTTAGAAACTTTGAAGTTCTTGAATCATGTATTTGGGGAATGATTAATTTTAGGGTATATGATGGGAATTTTCATTAAGGACTGTGAATGATTAAAATAAAGAAGAGTTGTCAATTTGAACCGATGATAATGGCTGCAAATTATTTTTCACGTACTATATGACGTTAAATGTATTTAAGTATTAGCAATTAAATTAAAATAAGAATGAACGTAGTACACTGGACAAATAATAACAATGAATCGTAATCAAAGTCAATTAGGTAATCCTCTGAGACATTGCCTCCTATAAAAAAAAGGATTTCAAAAAGACTGTAAAAACACATATAAGATACTTCTTTCAAAGAATTGTACAAATAATAGAAGCTTGCTGAAATTGTTCAAAAGGCTATGGAGAGAATCGAATGTCAATATGAGGAATATGACGAAATAAAAATTTGTGGTGAGATAATAAAACTCAATGACAAAGTGATTATCAAAAATGAGGATAGTAATGTGGAGGATTATATTGGAGCAATTTAGAAAATTTGCACTATCGTAGAACCTAGGACGCTTAAGTTAATATGTCTTTGTGAAGTGTAATGGTTTATGAGAAAGAATGAAATAATTTGTCACAAACCAAGAGCTCGAAGTTGGATTGGAAATTAAGAAATCTTCTCCACCAATACCAATGATTATGTATTAGCTTAGACAATTGTTCAGAAATGCACAGTTGTTGATTGTGAGGAGTATTTCAATATGGAGAATTGTGATTCCACTACCTACTATAATCGATTGGAATGGGATGTGGAATGCAAGAAATTTACAAATATGAATACAATTAAGATGTATTGCTTATGCCAACAGCCTTGGAATCCTGAGCTCAACTATATTTAAGTATTATTTTAGTGATATAATTAGTGTGATAAATGCTAAAAATGGTACCATTTCGAATGTGTTGGTTTAAAAGGGGGATCCTATGAAAACAAAGAATATGCATGTGGGTATTGCAATTGAAAATGGGATTTTTGATATAATGTCTTTTACTTACTATTCATTTAGAGATTATTAATTAAGTTTTATTTATCGAATAATAGTCTTTTCAAAAAATTGATGAAAATTAACTAACCCAAATTTAAAATGAGAAAGCCTATCGGACTCACATTGGATTTCTTGGACATTCAATAATCACAAAAAGAGTAGACACCAAAAGTATTTAATTCAAAATTAATCAGGTATAATAGATCGACACATTTGAAGAATTTTGCAGCTAAATTCCAGAGAATCAATAATAATAAGAATTAAACTTCTCAAAACAATCTTAATCCTTCCATTCTTAATAAATTAAATCCAACAATTAGGAAGAGTCAATCTGTTCTGAATTTAAGCAATCAATAATAAGTATTAATTTAATATAAATATCATATATCTAGATTAGGAAAAGGAGAATTCATAAATCCAATATATTGTTTTTGAAGAGTTTCATCCCCAAAGCACTATCATCTCAGGTCAATCTGAATCCATAAGAAATTCAGAAAAACAATTACAAGAGAAAAATACCGATCTTATAAAGGAACCTCCTGCACCATCAAACAAAAACAATACCAAATTTAGTTTTCCATAAAAAGGAACTGGATTCACAGGATGTATTTATGCTCTAAAATCTAGTAAAAAAATAACTTCAAATTGCCATTCCCGAAGCAGATCACACAAACACTAGTTCTTATGAGTAGACTATGATCAAGCAATAACTAAAATAAAATTAAATGAATAACGTTGCGGATATGGAATTAAAATAATAAATATTTACCCTGTAGAGAGATAAAGAATAAATTAAAAACTAATACAAGTTAGAGATAATTGATTTAAATGCCAAAATACAGGAACTTTAATAAAAATTAGATATTGAATAAGCCAATTCATTGCAGTTAAAATAAGAAAATGAGAAATTGTAGCTGAAAATTTAATCGATTGAACACCAATATTCAATTAATATCGATAAGAATTAAAGTGAATAATTTAGCATAAGTTATTAGAACAAACTAACAGATAATGAAAAAATCTAATATCTAGTTGAAAAACTAAATCAAAAATCCGCAATCAATGCCAAATTATAATATGAAATATTCAAATTGCAAAATAATGTATAATATCATAATAAATAGATTGAACTATTATAAACGAAATAAATTGTGCAATCTTATAATATTAATTAAATATCGGACTATGAATAAATTTCAGACAGCCACTCACCTCCTTAATTTGCATCAAATCCTCCTATGAACAATTACAAAAATAGAGAAAGCAATAAAGCTAGTGTATTGATGCAATAAAAACAAGCCTTACTTAACTTAAGTGCCAACCAAGCTTAATTGGATTAAAAAAAATAGATTAATTTGTAACTAAACAATTTTGAATTATATAGATCTAACATGATATCCCCATAGGCTAAAACTTGTAAAGCTTCTACTACTATTCATAAAAACTTAACTACTCATTAAACAAAAAATACTTAATTCAAAGAAGACACCCTCCAACACCTTAGAAAAATGCAGTAACAATTAACAGTTTATATAGAAGTACAAAAAACTCAACTTCGGTTGGAGAATTAAACACTTTTAAGCAAGATTTAACTAATTGTTCAAATATTTTACAAAAGATTATGAGGAAGGATTCAACTCAATCTCCAGATAAACCTATTCAAGCAACTTAGAAATTCAAGGAGGCCCTCAATTCTAAGTTACAAAATGTTCCAGATAAACATAAGTCCTATGCCAGTTTACTATTTTCATTGGGAGATTTTAACAAGCCTAGAATTCAGGATGCTTATATTCGTTAGAATTCACCACACATCAATGAAGACATTCAATTCAAATCAAGACAGTAGATTTGTAAAATAAAATAGAATATTTGCTTATTAGCCTCATTAAAATTCTAGAAAACAATCTGAAACCATAAAATCAGAGGAATCACACAAGATGAGCACTGAACAACCTAAGTATTATGATAAATATGAATACTCTAACTATTAAAGAAAAGGTAAATATTAATTCACATTAGATATTCTACAACTGATGAGAGATATTAAAAGTCAAAAACTTGGAAGTAAGATATTCATCACTTATTATTAGTATCTGCCAAAATCAATTACAAAAAGAATCACCCAAAGTATGAAAAGCAGTATAATCTATGTTAGTATAAGGGGACTTATTTCTGAAGGTTTAAGCGCTAGATCAAATAATTGTGATTGATAAATTTATATATATATATAATCAAATAAAAGGCATTTCTTAGATGATGATTTGGAATACGTCAAACTTTGAGAATGCTTCAATTTTAGAATAGTCTATTTGATTTTTTGTAATAATTTGATCAAATATATTTTATTATTATGATTCGTCCCTATTTATATTACGCATTCAAAATTAAGGATGGATTATTTATTGGCAATAAACGAGCTGCAAATGTATTCAACTTTATACATATATAGGACATCTAATTTCAATTTTATAATAAAATTGCAGTGATAATTAATTGTGCTGCATTAGAAATAAATATTAGTAATCCGAAAGTGAAGATTATAAATTTTGAATGGTTAGATACTGAGGAATAGGTTATATTTAATTTTAAGTAATATTTAGTAAATAGTAGTTAATAATAATGTCGATATAGTTTATAATGCAATTGAGGAAACTAATGAAAATGGAGAATCAGTCTTAATTTGTTGCTTAACTGGGTAGAGTAGATCTGTTGCTATTGTAGCTGCTTATTTTATGAAAAAGTAAGAGATCAAATCAAATTCTTAGATTTAACTGGAATTTAAAAACTTCATTATAATATTTATAAATCTGTAGAAAGGATTTCGAAATTCGTGAAGGGTTTCTTTTCTAATTAAGTCGTTATGAAAGAGAGCTATTAATGAAATTAAAAACGGATTTAACAGAATAAAATCAATACGTTTAGGAATAAGAAACTCTCTTAAAGAACACTTATTATAATGCTAAATTATCTGAGTTTTGGTAGAACTATAATATGTCAGAAAAGACAAGTGGTTTTTCAAAAGGTAAAAACAAGAAACATTTAAAAAGAGTTTCTTGGGCTTAAAAGTTGATAACATTTATTAATACGACTTTAGATTCTGTCAAATTAAATCTGTTTCTAAATTAAAAAAATGATTACGCTGATGCGATCACACAAAAATAATCTTCATTTAAAATATATAGAGGAAATACAGAAAAAAAATCAAGTCGATATATGATGACTTTAAGAAATAAAACACCTGATCCTATTACATATAAGTCTATCTCGATTGAAAGCAAATATAGATGTACTTCGGTAGTCAAGTAAATTGAATCTGATGCAAAGCAATTTTAATACAACCGAAAAAGCCTTACAAAAGGAGAGAAGTAAATAAGGATTTTGAAAGGTATGATGCAATTTAGAATGAAATGACAAATAAAATTATTATGAATTATTTTTTGTTATTAATTGTAGTGACATATTAATAAAAGTGTCAATGGGTGGATGAAGATAATCGCAAATATGACTATGCTAATTTAGATCATCCTTCAGCATGGCATGTTGTTGATACCCAAAATGGTATTCATATAAAATTACAATTAGGAATGGGAATGTTTAATATGGTTTACATCTTCAATTTCTGTAATATAAATCTAAGTTGTCATGGAATACCAGTTGCAGTGTATGAAGGTTTAGAAGTAATGGGAACTATCACAGACAATTGTGATATTGTAGGGTTGAAGTCAACCACTTCAATTTCTCATATATAAGATAAGCCTAAAGATTATGGAATTTCCATCTCTTTCAATGATAATTCTTAATGTGTAGAAACTGCTAATCAAAATAGAGCCGTTTAAACAGATAAACCAAGGACAGCCATTTTTAATATTGTTTGTAGTGAAAAGGCAGAAAATTAGTTTAGAATTGTTTAAGGATATGGATGCACAGTGACTTTAGAAATTAATCATCCAGTAGGATGTCCCCTAAATAGAAGTATGTTTTTTTTGATCAACCAAGGTGTTTTTAGTTACATTTCATTTGCACTTAAGTACTTTATTATTGCTACAATACTATTTCACATTGTTGGTTTTATATATAATAAGAAAATAAGGAAAATTACAGGTAAATAAGCTATTCCAAATATCAAGTAACTTGAGGAAATAAAATAATTAGTTATAAATTCTCTATAATATATTAAAAGATTAGTTAGAAGGGGGAATTAAAATGGATACTAAATTGTGTGAATGTGAAAATAATTTATTCAAATATTAATTATCAATACTATATGCTTAAAGTTAAAAATGAATTTCTCTAGGATGTTAAATGTTTGATGGAAAATCAGTTATTTGTTGATCTAGTTAGCACCTGAAAAAGCGAATCACAAGCTATTAAAGATTTCAATTTGTTAATCTAATTAAAAATAGAAGTAAGAAATTTAAGTTATTTTAATGTTTGTCTTGGATATCTGAATTTTGACACATATGCTTTCTGTTGATTGATATTAAACTCTGAAATGAAGAATATTTTGTGTTGTTCAAAACCTTCTTTTGACCGAATTCTACCAAGGGCCTTTCGATTATTATTTTATATGGATAAATAAATAGTCTTCAAGACATAATTATCATTTTCAATATAAAATATCTTATAAATTAATTTAAATGATAGTATTAATTATTAGTATATAATTAATAAGATATTGATTATCGAAAAGAAAATAATAAAACTTGATTAGTTAAATGAATTAATTTTCAAAAAAATGATTAAAATTTTTTAAAATAACATTATCCTCACATAAAATTTGGTATAAAATTAAAGTAAATAATTAAATTAATGAAGTCTAATTATTATTAAAAGGTTCAAAACTTCCTATCTTTTTGAAATTATAAACGGTTTTAGATTAAAGAAATAGTAAATTTTTAAAATACATTTTGCTTTTAAAATTCATTTTCTTCTATTTTTAATTCAACTTTTAATTTAATCTGTTCAATTTCAATAAATAAATACATTAATATAGATAATTTATTAAATAAATATAATTATATAATTTCAAAATTATTTTCACATTTCTTCAGGAATTCTAACATAATCTCAGGTAATCTAACATAACCTAAATTAAACTAAAACCATCTCAAAATTAGATAATATTTTTAATTACTATAATAATAAATAGTTTCTATTAAAATTGAATGATGTTTTCATTTTTTGAAATATTTTTATATATCAAATAGTTTATTATTAAACTTGCAAAATGGTTGTTTCTTCAATTACAGAGGTTTGTAGTAACCAAGTTATTTTTACGCTAGTATTCTATAAATACAATACTAATTGTTGACTAGTCAGCATAGTTTAAGAAAGTCTAGCTGTGTAAATAAGAGTATTAATTGCACCATAACAATTATGAGTAAAATTCATATATCTTTTACTTAAACAAGAGTTGCACTTATTGAATTAACTTACATACTTTTTATTTTGAAAACATTTCGCATACACTTAAATGTTTATTACTACCTGAGAGGCTGTCAATTTAAGGTTGNGACCAAAGTTTAAGATTATTGAAGTTGAAATTCTGTATATAAAATTGTACCACAATAGTTCTTAAAACTTGTATTGTAACTTAGAGGCAATAATCATACATATTAAGGTAGGTTTGCTAAATTCCAATCATACCAAGCTCTTTGTAACAAATGCCAACTGTTGATTGCTATCCACTAACTAATTGATTTTTCTCATAACATATAGGGTGAAATTCGAAATATTGTTCTCCTTGATCTCATATTCTAATATATTGACAAGATTTCTTCGATTACTTAAAGGTAGAGGTTCTATCTATTTTCTGAATCCAATCAGTTCAACTTGAATTTTTACGATCCGCTTCAACCATGTTACAGGCTAAGATGAATTTTTAGTTACCTCTGAAAGTTCTTGCAAATTAAATTAACTTTATAATTTCTTAATATATTAATTTACAATTAGTCAAGTTAGTTTTCCTTATTTTCATCCGTTTGCGTATTAAATTATTGATACTTACTTTTCCATCTAATAACTCAAACTGACAAGGATCCTGATAATTAATTAATATATCATTCAAAATGCTAATTGTTTTCATCTTACAATAAATATATTAGAAAGCATGAAAAAAGAAAAAAATAATCAATTTATGGGCAACTCCTTTCTAGTAATTGAATTATATATTTTTAACTCATTAATTTTTCTAATTAGCATTAAAAATATGTTTTAATTATTAATACCATTATAAAAAGTTTTAACTTATTGATCAATTTCTCATTGGTAATTATTCTTTTCCCAAAGTTTATTCATCACATAAATAAATTATCAGGTAATTTTGGAGAATTTCCCATCTTGATTAAGATACAAGATTTGAATCCTTCTCATTGAAAGACTACAATCAAAGTTAGATTAAACAGGAAAATAAGTTGGATTAATTCAAAGACTTTGAGTTTCAGAATAGAAATATAAATGTTTCAGAAATATGAATAATTTGATTGGATTGATAAAAACTCAAAGGGTTATACATCTATTCAATTTTTAAGAACTATTGTGGTACAATTTTATATACAGAATTTCAACTTCAATAATCTTAAACTTTGGTCAGTTAATATTTTTCTTTATCGTTTTAATAACTTAGAGGTAAATTCTTCTGATTATATTGTTTAAAACCAATTTTGATTTAATGGAAAGTTGGACTAATATTAAATGAATATTGTCAAGAATATAACACATAAAAAATTTTAATAAATATATAAAAATCATGATACTATCCTTTTTTTTCTTCACATTCACAAAAGCAACATTTTATGGTGACACTGGCTATGTATTGTGGAACGTGCAGGGTAACTTAATTTGCCCAGGTTATTACAAAGAGCGTACATTTGGCTTTGCTAAACCTTTTGACAAAGTTCCAAAATTGATTTTCACAATGGAAGAATATGAATCTTCTCCTAATAATCTCGGAGTTAATTTTTAATTAGTAAGCTTGTTTAATAATCGTAATTACTCTATAATAATTCATAGAGTTTAATGCAGGGATCTCTTGCAGTGGTCCAACCTTATACGCTTTCGGATTCAGATGGGTAGCTATAGATAGTGATGAATTATTTGTAGTTAACGCATTTTATACAACTCCAGCTCATTTTCTAACATATCCTCATTCAGCACCAAATGCAGATGCTGCTTTCGTAAGTCTTTTTTATTTTGGATATACAGGTGAAGTGAACTTTTAGATCCAAGTATTTATTATAAGTATTGAAGGTTATTGAACTGAACTCAACACATGTTAAAGTTGGAATCGATAACATAACTAATTTAAGAACTTTAGGATTTTAAATTATATTGTATCCAATAGCAATGGTAAAAATAATGGATACAATTAATGCTACGTCTTCTTTTACTAGTCCTTCTTATGAACTCTCACCAAAGTCCTTTTTCATAATGCCCTTCCAAGGCTTTTTCCATATCCCTGGTACAGAACATGTAAAAATTAAACATACAAGAACTCAAACATTAACAGATATTTCTTATACATCTGATTCTCAAGATAGTATTTATTACTTGAATAATACTCATTTGGCACTTTGGATCATCATTAACCCTCTGCCTGCAGAATGCACTACGATTAGAATAACCTAAATAAAGGATTTAAAAGCGAGTACCAGACCAACCATATAAGTTTCTGTGCCTGAGCTAAATTTGGTTTATGGTTCTGTTGGCTAGTGCAACCTTAAATTGACAGCCTCTCAGGTAGTAATAAACATTTAAGTGTATGCGAAATGTTTTCAAAATAAAAAGTATGTAAGTTAATTCAATAAGTGCAACTCTTGTTTAAGTAAAAGATATATGAATTTTACTCATAATTGTTATGGTGCAATTAATACTCTTATTTACACAGCTAGACTTTCTTAAACTATGCTGACTAGTCAACAATTAGTATTGTATTTATAGAATACTAGCGTAAAAATAACTTGGTTACTACAAACCTCTGTAATTGAAGAAACAACCATTTTGCAAGTTTAATAATAAACTATTTGATATATAAAAATATTTCAAAAAATGAAAACATCATTCAATTTTAATAGAAACTATTTATTATTATAGTAATTAAAAATATTATCTAATTTTGAGATGGTTTTAGTTTAATTTAGGTTATGTTAGATTACCTGAGATTATGTTAGAATTCCTGAAGAAATGTGAAAATAATTTTGAAATTATATAATTATATTTATTCATCTTTTGAAAATTTGGTTTGCAAATAGAAGAAAACCTAATTAATTACTTTATAAAGTGAATTAAAAAAGCTCATATATTATTATTAATCTCCAAAATTTACTAATTCACTTGCATATCTAGTTCTAAATAAGTTTATATTTTCATAAAGAAAAAAGTTCCGAAACTACCAAAAATTAAACCTTAAATTTGTCTTTATTTTAGTTTTAAAATTTTAGGAATTCTAGGTTATTAATATTGGAAGGTTTTCATTCAATGTAGAATTCAGTTTTCTGAATTAATGTTTATTTTTTGATATCAATATATTATTTTTTTCAATTAATACTATTTTTCAAATTAATTTATTATAAAATATTTCTAACTTGAAAATACTAATTATTGCTTGAAAATTTTGCTATATCCGTAAAGAATAATAATCGAAAGGCATTTGCTTAAATTTGCTCTTTAAAGAAGGTTTTGAACAGCAACAAGGATTTTTCATTACAGAATTTACAAACTTACAAAGCACCATAACTCAAAAATCGATGAATTGTTTTAATTGAATTTATTTGGTATTGATTACAATCAATATGAGAATCCACCTTTATCAAATTTCAGATGTCCGAGAAAAACCTCAATAGATCTGGATCTGATTTTTACCATCCTAATCTTACCCTTCTATATTGTGATACACGAAGGCTAAAAACCCTGCAGCTAGTTCTGAAAGAGCTTCTGTGGATGCCTAATTGTTTGCTTGATACACTAGTAGCTTCAATAATCAGATTAATTTAGTAATCTATTCTTATTATTTTTAAACACAATGCTTTTGTCTACTTCTAAATTTCTACAATTTTCTGCTAACTTAATATTTTTTTCAATTAGGCTGGGAGCTAGTATCTGCTAACTGTATCTCTAAGACACCACAAGAATAAGAAGGCAAAGAATCCTAGAGGTGAATTCCGAAAACCTTTATACCCAAATTTTTTTTTTTTTTCTTAGATAACCAGAAAATTTTGACCTGATGACCCCTGGATTAGAGGCTACCTGTAGAGAAACCTTGCGCTTGCCACATCTTCTACCTAGACTGCCGTCAAGCCGTTGCGGTGTGGAAGCCCAATTGTTTTGCCTGGCTCATTCAGCCTTTTACTAGACCAATGTTTTGGATACTATATATTCTATTTATTATAAAATTAGCAAGTGGTTTTGGATGATATATATATTCTAATTTAATAAAATCATAGTATATTGGGGCCACCCTCGAAAGAGGCTAAAAATGATCTTAGCATGAAGTGCCAAAAATGCGCATCGCTAATAGACCAAAATATTTTGAAAGAGTGTGATGAGAGGGTGAAAAGGAGGGCATAAAGTCTTTAGAGTGAAGGAAGAATAACATAATTAGGTAGAGATGAAAAGATCATATGAGATTGATTTAAAGCAAATGGTACTATAAATAGTTGTTTCTACCACAATTTTCTACTTTTTCAATAGGGCTGAGGATAGGTGATTAGTACCTTCCAAAAAGGTACTTTTCAAAATTTCAAAGATCAATTCTTAATTTTTTGAATGATAACTTATCTTGAATATAATATAAAATAATTTAAATTTGAATTTTCATTATTAATAAAAATTTATAGATAGAATGGATATTTATGCGTTAACGAATTATTTATAATTATCAATTATGTTTCTATTATAATACGTTCTCTAAAATCAAACTTCCTTTAGATATAAAAAATGATCGCAAATCATGTCCTTTATAATTAACGAATTCTCCTTTTAAAATTAAAGCCCCTTATGCTTCCAAAATAAGANTTTTAAGAACTATTGTGGTACAATTTTATATACAGAATTTCAACTTCAATAATCTTAAACTTTGGTCAGTTAATATTTTTCTTTATCGTTTTAATAACTTAGAGGTAAATTCTTCTGATTATATTGTTTAAAACCAATTTTGATTTAATGGAAAGTTGGACTAATATTAAATGAATATTGTCAAGAATATAACACATAAAAAATTTTAATAAATATATAAAAATCATGATACTATCCTTTTTTTTCTTCACATTCACAAAAGCAACATTTTATGGTGACACTGGCTATGTATTGTGGAACGTGCAGGGTAACTTAATTTGCCCAGGTTATTACAAAGAGCGTACATTTGGCTTTGCTAAACCTTTTGACAAAGTTCCAAAATTGATTTTCACAATGGAAGAATATGAATCTTCTCCTAATAATCTCGGAGTTAATTTTTAATTAGTAAGCTTGTTTAATAATCGTAATTACTCTATAATAATTCATAGAGTTTAATGCAGGGATCTCTTGCAGTGGTCCAACCTTATACGCTTTCGGATTCAGATGGGTAGCTATAGATAGTGATGAATTATTTGTAGTTAACGCATTTTATACAACTCCAGCTCATTTTCTAACATATCCTCATTCAGCACCAAATGCAGATGCTGCTTTCGTAAGTCTTTTTTATTTTGGATATACAGGTGAAGTGAACTTTTAGATCCAAGTATTTATTATAAGTATTGAAGGTTATTGAACTGAACTCAACACATGTTAAAGTTGGAATCGATAACATAACTAATTTAAGAACTTTAGGATTTTAAATTATATTGTATCCAATAGCAATGGTAAAAATAATGGATACAATTAATGCTACGTCTTCTTTTACTAGTCCTTCTTATGAACTCTCACCAAAGTCCTTTTTCATAATGCCCTTCCAAGGCTTTTTCCATATCCCTGGTACAGAACATGTAAAAATTAAACATACAAGAACTCAAACATTAACAGATATTTCTTATACATCTGATTCTCAAGATAGTATTTATTACTTGAATAATACTCATTTGGCACTTTGGATCATCATTAACCCTCTGCCTGCAGAATGCACTACGATTAGAATAACCTAAATAAAGGATTTAAAAGCGAGTACCAGACCAACCATATAAGTTTCTGTGCCTGAGCTAAATTTGGTTTATGGTTCTGTTGGCTAGTGCAACCTTAAATTGACAGCCTCTCAGGTAGTAATAAACATTTAAGTGTATGCGAAATGTTTTCAAAATAAAAAGTATGTAAGTTAATTCAATAAGTGCAACTCTTGTTTAAGTAAAAGATATATGAATTTTACTCATAATTGTTATGGTGCAATTAATACTCTTATTTACACAGCTAGACTTTCTTAAACTATGCTGACTAGTCAACAATTAGTATTGTATTTATAGAATACTAGCGTAAAAATAACTTGGTTACTACAAACCTCTGTAATTGAAGAAACAACCATTTTGCAAGTTTAATAATAAACTATTTGATATATAAAAATATTTCAAAAAATGAAAACATCATTCAATTTTAATAGAAACTATTTATTATTATAGTAATTAAAAATATTATCTAATTTTGAGATGGTTTTAGTTTAATTTAGGTTATGTTAGATTACCTGAGATTATGTTAGAATTCCTGAAGAAATGTGAAAATAATTTTGAAATTATATAATTATATTTATTCATCTTTTGAAAATTTGGTTTGCAAATAGAAGAAAACCTAATTAATTACTTTATAAAGTGAATTAAAAAAGCTCATATATTATTATTAATCTCCAAAATTTACTAATTCACTTGCATATCTAGTTCTAAATAAGTTTATATTTTCATAAAGAAAAAAGTTCCGAAACTACCAAAAATTAAACCTTAAATTTGTCTTTATTTTAGTTTTAAAATTTTAGGAATTCTAGGTTATTAATATTGGAAGGTTTTCATTCAATGTAGAATTCAGTTTTCTGAATTAATGTTTATTTTTTGATATCAATATATTATTTTTTTCAATTAATACTATTTTTCAAATTAATTTATTATAAAATATTTCTAACTTGAAAATACTAATTATTGCTTGAAAATTTTGCTATATCCGTAAAGAATAATAATCGAAAGGCATTTGCTTAAATTTGCTCTTTAAAGAAGGTTTTGAACAGCAACAAGGATTTTTCATTACAGAATTTACAAACTTACAAAGCACCATAACTCAAAAATCGATGAATTGTTTTAATTGAATTTATTTGGTATTGATTACAATCAATATGAGAATCCACCTTTATCAAATTTCAGATGTCCGAGAAAAACCTCAATAGATCTGGATCTGATTTTTACCATCCTAATCTTACCCTTCTATATTGTGATACACGAAGGCTAAAAACCCTGCAGCTAGTTCTGAAAGAGCTTCTGTGGATGCCTAATTGTTTGCTTGATACACTAGTAGCTTCAATAATCAGATTAATTTAGTAATCTATTCTTATTATTTTTAAACACAATGCTTTTGTCTACTTCTAAATTTCTACAATTTTCTGCTAACTTAATATTTTTTTCAATTAGGCTGGGAGCTAGTATCTGCTAACTGTATCTCTAAGACACCACAAGAATAAGAAGGCAAAGAATCCTAGAGGTGAATTCCGAAAACCTTTATACCCAAATTTTTTTTTTTTTTCTTAGATAACCAGAAAATTTTGACCTGATGACCCCTGGATTAGAGGCTACCTGTAGAGAAACCTTGCGCTTGCCACATCTTCTACCTAGACTGCCGTCAAGCCGTTGCGGTGTGGAAGCCCAATTGTTTTGCCTGGCTCATTCAGCCTTTTACTAGACCAATGTTTTGGATACTATATATTCTATTTATTATAAAATTAGNCATCTTTTGAAAATTTGGTTTGCAAATAGAAGAAAACCTAATTAATTACTTTATAAAGTGAATTAAAAAAGCTCATATATTATTATTAATCTCCAAAATTTACTAATTCACTTGCATATCTAGTTCTAAATAAGTTTATATTTTCATAAAGAAAAAAGTTCCGAAACTACCAAAAATTAAACCTTAAATTTGTCTTTATTTTAGTTTTAAAATTTTAGGAATTCTAGGTTATTAATATTGGAAGGTTTTCATTCAATGTAGAATTCAGTTTTCTGAATTAATGTTTATTTTTTGATATCAATATATTATTTTTTTCAATTAATACTATTTTTCAAATTAATTTATTATAAAATATTTCTAACTTGAAAATACTAATTATTGCTTGAAAATTTTGCTATATCCGTAAAGAATAATAATCGAAAGGCATTTGCTTAAATTTGCTCTTTAAAGAAGGTTTTGAACAGCAACAAGGATTTTTCATTACAGAATTTACAAACTTACAAAGCACCATAACTCAAAAATCGATGAATTGTTTTAATTGAATTTATTTGGTATTGATTACAATCAATATGAGAATCCACCTTTATCAAATTTCAGATGTCCGAGAAAAACCTCAATAGATCTGGATCTGATTTTTACCATCCTAATCTTACCCTTCTATATTGTGATACACGAAGGCTAAAAACCCTGCAGCTAGTTCTGAAAGAGCTTCTGTGGATGCCTAATTGTTTGCTTGATACACTAGTAGCTTCAATAATCAGATTAATTTAGTAATCTATTCTTATTATTTTTAAACACAATGCTTTTGTCTACTTCTAAATTTCTACAATTTTCTGCTAACTTAATATTTTTTTCAATTAGGCTGGGAGCTAGTATCTGCTAACTGTATCTCTAAGACACCACAAGAATAAGAAGGCAAAGAATCCTAGAGGTGAATTCCGAAAACCTTTATACCCAAATTTTTTTTTTTTTTCTTAGATAACCAGAAAATTTTGACCTGATGACCCCTGGATTAGAGGCTACCTGTAGAGAAACCTTGCGCTTGCCACATCTTCTACCTAGACTGCCGTCAAGCCGTTGCGGTGTGGAAGCCCAATTGTTTTGCCTGGCTCATTCAGCCTTTTACTAGACCAATGTTTTGGATACTATATATTCTATTTATTATAAAATTAGCAAGTGGTTTTGGATGATATATATATTCTAATTTAATAAAATCATAGTATATTGGGGCCACCCTCGAAAGAGGCTAAAAATGATCTTAGCATGAAGTGCCAAAAATGCGCATCGCTAATAGACCAAAATATTTTGAAAGAGTGTGATGAGAGGGTGAAAAGGAGGGCATAAAGTCTTTAGAGTGAAGGAAGAATAACATAATTAGGTAGAGATGAAAAGATCATATGAGATTGATTTAAAGCAAATGGTACTATAAATAGTTGTTTCTACCACAATTTTCTACTTTTTCAATAGGGCTGAGGATAGGTGATTAGTACCTTCCAAAAAGGTACTTTTCAAAATTTCAAAGATCAATTCTTAATTTTTTGAATGATAACTTATCTTGAATATAATATAAAATAATTTAAATTTGAATTTTCATTATTAATAAAAATTTATAGATAGAATGGATATTTATGCGTTAACGAATTATTTATAATTATCAATTATGTTTCTATTATAATACGTTCTCTAAAATCAAACTTCCTTTAGATATAAAAAATGATCGCAAATCATGTCCTTTATAATTAACGAATTCTCCTTTTAAAATTAAAGCCCCTTATGCTTCCAAAATAAGATTTTTACTTATTCTTAGGATTGTACAATCAATATTTGCTTATAAAATATTATAAATAATTACTATTTTAAAAAATAGAACCACTTTAATGTGGTATTTTAAACTAAGAAAGAAGGTCTTTATAACAATTTTATTGAGGTAGAATTTCCTTTGCTGTTTTCACATCCCATAAACGGATAGAGTTATCATCATTGTCAGATGCTAAGGTAGTACCATCAGGGGAGATATTGACTGAATAAACATAGCCTGAAGGGCCATCTAATTTAGGGTTTTATTTTCTTGTTTAAAGATTCCAAAAACGGATAGAGTTATCTGAACTACCTGAAGCTAATGTAGTACCATCAAGTGAGAAACAGATTGAATTAACTGAATATTAATGACCATCTAATTTGGCTAATTGTTATCCTGTCTTAACATCCCATAAACGGATAGAATTATCATAACTACCAGATGTTAAAGTAGTACCACTAGGGGAGAAATAAACTGATGTAACTGTGCTGGAATGACCTTCCAATTTGACTTATTATTATCTAGTCTTAACATCCCATAAAAGGATATACTTATCACAACTACCTGATGCTAATGTAGTACCATCAGTCGTGAAGCAGATTGAATTAACTGTATCAGAATGACCTTCTAATTTGCCTATTTGTTATCCTGTCTTAACATTCCATAAACGGATAGACTTATCACAACTACCTGATGCTAATGTAGCACCATCTGGAGAGAAGCAGACTGAATTAACATCATTTGAATGACCTTCTAATTTGGTTGTTTACAAACCTGTCTTCACATCCCATAAACGGGTAGACTTATCACAACTACCAGATGCTAATGTAGAACCATCTGGAGAGAAACAGACTGAATTAACTGTGTCAGAATGGCCTTCTAATTTGCCTATTTGTTATCCTGTCTTAACATCCCATAAACGGATAGATTTATCACAACTACCTGATGCTAATGCAGCACCATCAGGGGAGAAACAGATTGAATTAACTGAATATTCATGACCTTCTAATTTGGCTTTTTAATTTCCTGTTTAAAAATCCCATAAACGGATAGATTTATCAAAACTACCAGATGCTAATGAAGTACCATCAGGAGATATACAAACTGAATATACAGTTCCTGAATGGCCATCTAATTTGAACTTTTATAATCCCGTATTAACATCCCATAAATGTATGGATTTATTATAACTTCCAGAAGCTAATGTAGCGCCGTCGGAAGAGAAATTGAGTGAATAAACAGTTCCTGAATGACATTCTAATTTTGTTATTTATTATCCTGTTTTAATATCCCATAAACGGATAGAGTTATCATTACTACCAGATGCTAATGTAGCACCATCAGGGGAGAAACAGATTGAATTAACATTATTTAAATGACCATCTAATTTGGTTGTTTACAAACCTGTCTTCACATCCCATAAACGGGTAGACTTATCGCAACTACCAGATGCTAATGTAGTACCATTAGGAGAGAAACAGACTGATGTAACAGTGCTAGAATGACCTTCTAATTTGGCTTTTTATGATCCTGTCTTAACATCCCATAAACGGATAGATTTATCATCACTACCAGATGTTAATGTAGTACCGTCAGGAGAGAAATTGACTGAAGTAACTGTGCTAGAATGACCTTCTAATTTTGCTTATTATTATCCTGTCTTAACATCCCATAAACAAATAGAGTAATCTGAACTACCTGATGCTAATTTAGTACCATTAGGAGAAAAACAGACTGATTTGACAACCTTAAAATGACCACTTAATTTCTTTATTTATCTTCCTGTTTTAAGATTCTATAAATACACAAATTCTCTGCAGCTGAACGCTAATTAATTATTATTAGGTGAGAAGCATAATGATTTTACTTCCCACTTTGCTCTGATTATGGAATTTATATTTCCAGTTTTAATATCCCATATACGAGTAGAATTATCAATACTACAAGATGCTAATTACTTACCATCTATAGAAAAGCAAACTTAGTTAACTCTGCCAATGTGACCATTAAACTAAATTCCCTCTTTTATACCCAACTTTCTCCATTTACAATTTATTAATCTGGCTTAATTCAAATTGATACCACTAATAATCACATTATCAAATTCAGATCCACTTAAGTCGCATCTGACTAAGTTAGCTCCTATTAAGGAAGTATTTCTAATTCTTATATTCTCAAAACATAATTCCTTCAAATCAATTTTCATTTAAACTAGTAAATGAAGACAATTTGATCCACACTAAATATATCTCTCATCTAAGGCAGTAAGATGAACTAGAAATTTTAGAAATTCTATAATCTTTTTATCCCATGATATTTTTATGATCAGATCTTTTTTAATTTCTTCATATTCATCTTTCGAGTAATTCTGTTTATTCAATTCATGATATTAACTTTTTTTGAGAATATCTCTTATTCTGATCATATATTCTTTATCAGATAGTTAATTTTCTACCTATAATATTTCTTATTCAACTTTCCTTAGATTTAGATCTTTTGAGAGAAATTCTAAACAATCTTAGATTTTCTCTCTTTTCAATATTTTGATTAGGATTGGGAAAACTTTTTGATCAAATTCTTTAGATAAAGCCAAAACTGGATACGAATCTTGATTCTAGAAATTTTTGCAATTCATATAATTTTTTTTACGATAATAATGAATTTCTATTAATTTAATTGTAATTTAACATTAAAAACCAAAAAAAATCTATTTTTCATAGATTTTTTAAGAAGAAAATTGATTTAATTAAATAGCGGCAGCTCACAAAACTTGTGCATAAGTTAATTCTTTGAGTAAAATAAATATACAATCAAATTATTAAAAAGACCATTAAATACTCATATCTCAAAATGAATTTTAACACCTCAAATAAATCACCCTTCTCATTATGAGCTATTTTTTTCAATCTAATATTGAGTATCTTTTCTTTATTTTGAGTTTATACTATAAGCATAAAGTATACTGATATATGATAAGGGAGGAAAAATCAAATTCTTAGAATGTAGGTTTGATGTAATTTTAGAATTGTGACAACTCACATAAAATTGTGAATAGCATCAATCTTGAATATAAGAAAATTACAATAACAACACTGCAACAAATTAACAAGGAGTTTTAAGTTAGAATATCAATACAATAGTTTCATAGTATTAATGATTTAACTTCCATAACATCAGTTTCTTACTTTAGTGACTTTTAACATATTAAAATTTTAGTTTTTTACTAATCATCAAAATCCTTCTTCCTAGAATGATAATGATTGCTTTCAATATATTTTTTCTGTATAAGCCCTCACTATAAACTATAAGAACAACACAAGACAATTATAAATCTAATATAACCTTTTTACAATTGAATCAGAATAATTACAAAAATTTTCTATTAAGATTGGATAAAGCGCCTATAAATAGGTGTTTTCATACATAAAAAAATTTTTTTGTTTTATTATTAGTTTATTTGAAATATAGAATATATATTAAAGATTGTAGATTGTAATAATCAAGGGCCAATTTCTTGTTTAAGAATTTATTTGATAAAATGCTGTAACCTCCGTTTAATAACTTTGTTTCTACTTTTGATGCTATTAAAGTAGTATCCCAAAATAGTTTAAGTTTTTGCTGCATATATTTTTAACTATACAGCTACTATAAATTGTTGTTCTCTTGCCTAGAGTGTTACAATATCTAAAATTTATTTTCTGCAAGTCACCAATATCTGCGTTATTCATTTCCGAAATGTCTGCCTTTATTATAAGGAAAAATTTAATGTTTGAAAACTTCATTATTCATTGAGATCTTGTGTTATTAACTTGTCTTACTTTTAATTTTTAATGGCACCAATATGCCAAGTTTGTGTCAGTTTTCATGCTTTCATCTTGTGATGGCAAGTACATTACTTAAATATCTTTTTTTTTGGGCAATCTGTATTGCTCATTTTTACTATTGGTTATCATTTTTAGAGATACAGCTCAATTTAAATTGCTATCTCTAAGGAGTAGCCATATAAGCAAATAATAATGCTATCCTAATCTACAGTTCCAAATTGTTAGCGAAGCACTGATATCTTTTAGAATAACTGTTATCAATTTTCAAGGATTTAATTTACAAAGGGCATCATTCTGACCTTCTTAAAAGATCATTCCTTAACATATTCTGGCATGCCGACTTATTCCAGGCTCATAATTACCATTTCCTTCATGTATGATCATTTAATATAAAATCTAAATGCTTGCAGATGATGTATTCACAAAATTATTCACCTTTAATAGTTCTCAAGACAGAATAAAATTAATATGGATTATGATATACAACAATGAGTAGAGTGAAATTTAGAGAACTTGTTTTTTTAGGATAAATTTGAGGCTGATAAATTTAAGGATAATAACGAGATAGATAATTTTGTTAAGGTATTTTTATATTAGTATTAATTATTTAGAGGATCAATATTTGAATACCTTGATATTTGGGGAATTTAAATATATTTGGTAAATACTTTAATTACAGGTGTAAATCTTAGAAAAGATTAATTGATATGAAGTAAAAAATTAAAAAAATGATTATAAAACCTATTTATAACAATAAATATTGCTTTTTAATTCTTGTGTGAGTTTTTAATCCACAAATATATTCTAATATTTTAAAGAATTTGTAAAAAATGTACAATATTTTCATATTAATATACTTAATTTGTATCAATGATAGATTTCTTACTTATTTTAATGAATTTATATAAATAACTTATCAAATGTAATTTATAGATTAAATATAAAAATAAAAAAAAAGTTTAATTTGCTTTAAGAAACTTTGAAGAACTTTATTAATTTTTGTGCTATCAATTTTTTTTGTGTCATTTATAGCTATAGAAATTAATACTTTATTCTCATTTAGAAAAAACTGAATTCTGATGATGAGAAAAATTTCAGAATGTCGTTATCTATAACATCACTATTTATTCCTTATTTAATTGCTATTACGTACTATATTTAATCTTGCATAGCATACCTGTATCATAGCCTAGATAACCCCTACTTATCCTAAATTTATTTGCAATATTAATCGTATATTTAATTATTTATTGTATCCTATATTTTATAGCTGATTTCCTTATATATATCATCCCTATTTAATCCCCTAACTATCTAATTTTTATCATCCAGAACATAATTCATATCCCCATTAATCCCCTATTTCGTGTTTGTGTTCATATCATATTTTTTAGATTTTTAATTTTATTCACTATTAATTATAATTAATTACTTTATATTTCATGGTGTATTTCTTCCCCTATTTTATTCCAAATTTTTTATTATTTTATTATTTGCGAATATCCTATATCCTCCAGTATTTAACCACTATTTATTTTAAATATTGATAGCAAGTATCACATAATTCATTGACAATTTTCCCCTATTTTATTTATTATTTATTTTTTTTTAATTCTATTAATTATTTTTCTTATTCATAATATTTTCATAACCTATTGATCGCCTATTTTCCATATTAATCAGCTATTTTTAAGTTGTTCATATATTTTTCATACCCTTATCTCCTATTTTTTTCACTATTAAATACTTTGTTAATAGTAAATTTTATTCATAATTTAATCCCCTATTTCATCGCCACTTCATTTCCTATTTCATTGGCTATCCCTATTGGCGATCGACAATTTTTATCTTTTCTACCATATTACTGGCGTCTTGGAGAGACAGTTCTATGACCAAACCCAACCTCTTAATATTTTATCCATAAGGAAAAAATAAATTCCATCATAGTAAACTTAATTTTTTCCACAATTCAATCAAAAAATTACAACTTCTAAATTAATATTATTTGACTGATGGCAATAAAAAGACTAAATTATATTAAATTATTACATGCTCTCTATTTTAATTTGTTTAGCTAGTCGCTTTTTTATGTCTACTCCTTTTGATGCAAACAATAAAATCCGGATTGTATTATAACTCTCTTGTTAATATTAAATATTACAAGATTATTTGAATTTTTAGGTTGGGATATCACAAATAAGCTAAATACGATGCTTAGAACCTGTGATTCTTAAGTGATGGTGGACTTAAGAGTTTTGAAACGAATAACTATCTGATAGTTGCCATAATTTAATACATTATACTAGTTTTTTAATGACCTTACTTCTCATTACAAGTTGAAATTGAAATCGAACTGTGGATGTAGATTTTTGATCTTTTATTTTTAGAATATATAAATGGACTTTAATTCATTAAACATTGAAATTTACTATACTTTGTAATTCTAAAATGTTACACGCGTGGCTCATTCCTGATTATTGTGGTACTGGTAGGATGATGGTAATGATTCATCTATCTACAATGATGAATTAGATACAATATCAATTACAGTTCCTCATGTTAAAAGAAGTGCACAAATGAGAAAACCGATGAAAATATAAAATTATAATGTATAAAGTATTCGTGGGACATAATAACATTTAAATTAAGTCTAGAAAAAGTGGATATCTGGCTAAAATGGCGAAAACATATTTAATGTTTTTCATAATCTTACATCAGTGGATCTGATTCATGGGATGAATTGGGATTTCCTTTAACTATTTTTCAGTCAGACTAATGCTCTGGTTGCCATTATTTTATTGGAATGAGGTTTAGAAGATTTCTATAATTGCCAACAATCAATAAATCCTTATAAGATTATTTAAATATTACACAAAATACTTTACAAATTTCATTAAAAAATAATCTTTATTACAGTTATTTACAATTCAATAGGGTCGATATAAAATTTGATAGATCATTAGAAGGTCGAAGTATATGGAATTCTGCTTGAATCCTTAACATCTAGATACCAATTCTCAAAAAGATGCTTTTTCGAGATCAAGTAATAATTTCGTGAATACGAATGCAATTAAGAATGTGGGGTTGATTCTAAACTAATTATCGTGTGATATAGATATAAAAAAAAGATTAGACGAAGAGTTAGATAATGTTATAATGGGAGATGGAGTTTTGGCTGTTTGATAATGAGAAAGATTCTTCCATTTTACAACTTGCAATTATAAAGTCAATACTATTATGAATGGAGATTATTGAGTTGATTTTAAAAGTGTTAGACTTATACCTACTAATCATCTGTTTAGAATGAAAACTCAGTCAAAGTTTTATAAAGGAGTTGATCAGCAAGTTATATAAATAGATAAGTAAAACGGAATATTGTCATGAAATTAGAATGGATTGTTAGATATTATTGTGAAAATTATATTTATAAATATATTACCAATTAGATGATTGTTCAATCACTTCAATCAATATATTTGGATTTTTTAAATAGGCAAACCATCAGTATCTTTTATCATGAAAACTTTAGATGAATTTGGTCTTTATGTTTATATTAGTTAAAAATTCAAACAAAAATATTTTAAATTAATGATTCGAATTTTGTACTATGTAGAATCATTAAATATATTTTTTTTCGTCAATACCCTTTGATATTTTTGAATTCTACTCTATAAAATTATCACTTTTAATGCTAAATTTTTATTATTAACCTGTCTTATCAATACATTTTCTGATATTTAAAATTTCTTAATTTTTAAACCTTTTTCTTATTAATAGTCCTCCTGTTGTGTTAAAATCCTTCTAGCCTTTGAGATTCATATTATATTTCGAATTCTACATTTATTATTCCTTTGCTACCTTAATCTCTAATGACCTTATTATTTCATAAATCCACAATTCCTATTATCCACTTTATTAATTTTCATTCTCATTTAATAATCTTGGCTTGGTCTTTTTGTGAGAATTCTCCTTCTTTTAATTCTCCTCTTATCTTCCTCTTAAAAAGTTCTTCTACTGTTGCCCATACTATTAAATATGAATAGTACTCTCTATTTGTAAGAAAACACCTCAAATAGTGATTGATTAGATACTCATAGAAAATTTGATCAGCCTATTGAAAGCACACTCCTTCAATATCAACTAAGTCCAATTTTTGAAATCAATTGAGTTTGAAATAGCTACAAGTTCCTATCAATTAGGAAATTTGTGCATACATCCTTACTTCTTCTCATTTCAGCAATTTTTGTTGTTCTTGATAAAAATGAGCAGCTTTATGCTTATTATTCATAAAGAATAGAAATAATCATTTGTGCATTTATAAATTAGAACTACTATTTATGATACATCTTCTTTTAATGGTGTGCCTGTTAATCCAGTTGCAATCCATCTTGTAAGTGAGATAATGATAGCATATTAGTAATAAATACCTTTCTTATAATTGAAATGTGTTATATACACTACTACCCTTGTTGTGTATTCACAGAAATGCATTTCACATTCTAATGGTATGCCTATAACATAGGATTTTATGCTCTCTTCTTGGATTATAGAATTGAAATTTAAAATCAATATTTTAAGTGTTGATGAAGAGAATACTAATCAAGTTGATACATCCTGGAAGTGATGTTATCTCTTCATAACATAATTTTCCTGTAATTAATCTTTAAGCACTTTCTAATATTTTTACATGCATTTAAAATTTGATAAATACTTCACTTCAAAACACTAGTTTTTATAATTTAAGAATCACATTACATTCAATCTGAAGGAGTATTTTCACCCTATTCCCTTAAAAGTTTTATCAGAACTTTATTTCAATTACAGATATTTTTGTTCTGTGTCTACCATAGTTAGTAAACAATTAAATTCTTATTTTCCTATTTCTTTGCAAAATTTTGCTACATCATCATTTGGTTTGATGTCAAAGAATTTATGAAATTACAGTCATAAACAGGTCGCATTTTTCACTTATCTATTTAACCAGAACATCGGAATGCAACAATTTCACCTTAACTGATGCAGCACTCCTAGAGGCCTTCAACCTACATCCATCTTGTTAGGAATGCATTTATTCATTATAGGAATGTTGTTCCTTTCTTGTGGATTTTGGTTACATCTTTACGAAATTCTATTTGCAGCAATTAAATTTACAGTTTTTAGTTTTGATAATGGTAGAAAGAAACAGCAGGAAATGGTCAAAAAGTTTGCAAGCTTTTGTACGGAGTTATCTAACCGACCCTAACTGCCTTTTATAAACTTAATACCTTCATATTGTGTAACTGTATCGCTGTCAGATTTTTATTCTTAGTACATAGAGAAGTGTATTTTTTTATTAATACAATTAAATTAGTCCATAACAGAATGAATCAGAATGTAATATTAAATGGCATCCTAAAACAAATGGATAGAGCTGCTTTTACAAAAATAATTTTGCTTCACAAATTATAGATTATCCTTGGCTTCTAAATTTTGCATTTCTTAATTTTTTGATAAATTATCATCTATAAATTATTTTATGAAAATTGAATGATGAGTTAATAGAAATGATTAATAAAATTTAATATAATTATAGCTTTGAATTAATACATTTTAAGACAGTAAATAGGTTGAATTATGAAAATTTTAAGAACCTGATATGCTTCTCGATAAAATGCTTTATTTTGGATTGAAGTATACATAATAAAGATGATTATTATTGAATATGAATTCTTCAGAAGACAATGATATAAAAATTGACAGCACATATATAGATGAACAATTTTTGTTGGTTGAAGAATCAACAGTATTATCTGCGCTCTTTTTAACAGATGTTGAATTATTGTTTGAGAAGGATGCTCTCCAATGCAATTTATTTATTTGTCTTAGTGTTCCAACTATAGATGAATTAACTCATTTTATGGTAATTATCCTAAGTTTAGGAAATAAACCTTACCATTTTAAATAATTTCTTTATGTAGGGGAAGTTTTTTTGCTCATAATATTCCCCTGCTATCCTTATATAGCAAAATTTAGAACCTGTAGAATTTTACGATTAACCAGCTACTCTAATTCCAAGAGATATTTTCATTAAAATTAATAGAGACCTATAGTATTTTAGTAAAAATGGAAGATTACGCAATAATTAGGAAATATACATCCTATCCTGAGGAGTAGAATAACCTTCTTAAGAAAGTACCACACCCATTCTAAATATTAAAAAAAATAATTAAACCTGTTATTCAATGACATTCAAATAAAGTTATTTTTCCATAAACTTTTACCTTATAATATTAAAACTTCATACCTATTCCAGTCCTTCCAGTGATAAGTTTGTTAATCCTAATTTACAGAATTTTAAGGTTAAGTTCCATTTTTTTTTTTGATAATTAGATACGAAGAAGAATTGATCTAAATTTTGAGACAAATTATTTGTATCTTTAATTTATAAGAGCAGATAATTATATTGACAACTCGATATAATTTATTTTGGACAAAGCAAATGAAATATATTATTTCATAATCATAAAGCAATTATATTCAGATTATTAATTAAATTAGAACTCACATTATCATTAAATTACAATTATGACTCAGTTTAGTTCTTCAAATTAGCCTTAGTCTATAAAAGGATTGAAATTGAAAAATTTTAATCTAAAATAGTAATGTACCTGATTTGAGAAAATTATTACGATATCAACAAATATCATGATAGTTCGACTTTAATGTAACAATAGCTTAAAATCTTCTTCAAAATTCCCTTTAAAGGTTTCATTTTCTAGACTTTTATTACAATTAATCTAATTAGTCTTCATTTGGAGTACTAGATTTAGCTTTATTTAATTATGTGGTCTAATTCTTTCTGGTTCTAACCTTTATGGATTGATGTGTTATTAATATTAGTTAGACTCTAAAACAACTAAAAATAAGTCTATTACTAAATTGCAAAAATATTTAAATTATGTAAAATATTTTAGCTAAATTTTGTATTCAAATTTTACCATCAATTATTTTTTGTAGGTTCAACATTTGTCAACTTATTTCCTTGAGTTTTTTTTCTCAACTAGATAAATTATTTGTTTATTGTATATGGTGCAAGTATGAATATTTATCTTATTCATTTCACATATTGATAAGCACAACCTTTGTATTCCTTATAATCTGGATTTCTATATATTTATACAGATTTTCCATTAATTAAAGCCAAGTATTATAAACCAACTGAACATTGAATTATTCAATAGCAATTGTAATGATGATATTCTATCTTTGGAAATAAATTGAAAATAACTACAACATCGTTCAATATTTTCACTCAAGTTTGGTTCAAGTACTCAATATAATATTAAATAATTGTTATAAAAATAATTTATCGCTAGTAAAAATATATAATTAGATAATTAATCTTTTTCTTATTAAAAATACATGAATAATTTGATTTCAATATTAATTATTTCATTAAGAGATTTTGTTGTACATAATTTTTATGATTATCTAAAGTAGAATTAATGTTTGATTAAATAATATAAGTTTGCAATCTCATTTTCATAAAACTTTTGATGTTAAATTCAATATTTATAATTTTTAATAAAATCAAATTAAGAACATTTTTAGTTTTCTTTATTCTGGCAATATTTAGTTGTAAATTCTCTTAAACTTCCTATTAAAGTTATTAAATAAATTAAAATTAAACAGAGATTGAATTATGCCATTACTTTATTGAACAGTAATATTACGACAAATAGAAGTTTTTTTATAAAGTTATTCTTTCAAACTATTAAATCTTAGATTTGAAACTTTCAAGTTTTCATTCATTCCTTTAAAATTCTACAAATAAATGACAATGGTCACCCCCAAAACGAAAAAGCAAATACTATAAATGTCGTTTATCGATATCCTGATTCTGTGTTTGAGATCATAAGAAACACTGTAATAAACAAATCCCAGCAGTTTACGTAAAAACCGTTGTATAAAACCTTTCATAGAGTAAATATTCTTTAATTTTAAAATATTTTTATTAATTTTATATAGTTTAATTAGGAGTTGGTTGAGCCATTATAAATTCCTTTTCCTAATAAAATCAATATTTCTAATTTAAAAACATAATTAAGGGCAATTTTTGGATAAAATTATAAAAATAAGTACATCGAACCATTTATTTGATGCTCTTAAAGCTTACCTATACTTGGAATGAAGTTATCAGTAATGAAATTATTAAGAAGATCTGTTATTTTAAAGTATATTATCATAGGCTAATTGTTAGAGTAATACACATTCTGAAGATTGAAAATAAAATCTAGGGATAAGAAATATTTACAATTGAAATTAAAGTATTAAAATCAAATTCAATTTAAATCTTATAACATTTCAAAACATTGGAATGGTTATCTAAATAAGAACAACAGTATGCTAATAGCTCCGAAGCCTATAATTAAAATATTTCCAATATCTTAACGCTTATTTGCAATATTAATTTACTTCTAACTGAGAACCTTAGTGGTTTTAAGCAATAATTATTAAGATCGGAGATCAACTGTCATATTGTTATTATCAATAAAAGAAGAGTTCAAAAAATAACTAAACATGATTTGATGCCTTTCCTAGCATCTAAATTGATTAAAATTTTTCTTGCTAGAATTGCACAGTATGTGAATTATATAAAGATGGTTCGGATGAAGGAATTTGCTCAACAATATGTGACACATCCAGGAAGTGATGACAAAATCTGATTATTTATGCTACGCTCCCAATTTTTCATGCTCATGGCAATTCTTTTCTGCAGGCACTATGTGTTATACAAACATAATCCTGGATGATTCAAGCGCATGCAATCCTAAATTTCCTTATGACTAACCTTGCATTATCTGTTTATGGTAATCGCAAGCTAGGGGCTTCTGATAAACAAGTATTTTTACCCAACAATGGTGCCACCTGTCTAAAGGCCATGTAAAAGTTGTTTATATCTCATCCAACTTTGTTGTAATGATGGCACAGATAATTTACTTTCTCCTAAATAGCTTCTCTATAAATATTACGCTATAATATTAAATTTCATCCTTGAGTTGTGTGTAATATTTATTCTTTGTCCAATTCCATAACATAAATTTTTCAGAACATTACTATAATGCACCAAGCTTTATATATCATTTGTGTCACCATAAATACTAATAGTTATGATCCACTATAGAACATCTTAAGTCTCTACATTTATTTGGTATCTTTCTTAATACATGAACTGCTCACCTCTCTTGTAACTAATGTGTATTTTCTAGCAGTACAAATTAATTATAAGATTTAGAAGTACTTACAGACGAATGGCTCCTCAACATATTATCCTTTTTGATGAGAATATTTCGTTCATTAAACAATATATACTTGTAGATTATGATGATTGCTTTTCATTATTGATTAATAATTCTAAGTGCGCATTGATTTAAATGATCCTACTTCTGACTATTGCATCCTTCTCGATTCTTCTTAGATACTAATGTTTGTGATAAAAATAGCCATCCTGAACACTAACCTGATGAGTAGTGTTAAGATTGGTTATGTGGATCCTTGCAACATAGTATGCAAGGATCGCAATGCATTTAGTATCAAATACTGGAATGAAAAATTACAAGCTAGATTGAATTTACTGGATAATTAAATGGTGAATGAGCTAATCTTTGTAAATCTTTAATAATTTTTTCAGAATCCTCTTAAATTCTCCTGGTTGTAATCATAATTGTTGCATCTTAACTTGCCACGTACTACTTACTGGAATATCTAGTAGTTAAGATCTAACACATCTTCTTTCTTCTTTCGTTGTATCAAGTGATGAAAAATCATTTATAACTTGAGGTATTTGGATACTATCTCAATACTATTTGAGGTTGGTAGCGCTAAATCTCATCTTCTTTCTGGAACTTCCCAATCATGTTTTTATTTCTTAACAAGTCCTTCTATTACCCATTCATCATCAATATTAATTCTCACTTTCTTTTTTTTTTTTTATACTTTTTCTTATGGTAATTTTGCTGTGGCCTATCACTGCAATTCTTTTATTTAATACATTTGCACCATAATGAATCACAATGTTTTGGATCAACTTCTAACTCTTTATCTGCCCAAATGATTGCTTCATTAAATATAATCAAGCATTCTTAAACTCGTCGCTAAAATATTTAACAATGTTTATACCTTTCGAATATAATATGTAATACTTATTGATGATTAATATATATTT